TTTTCATAACTTTACGCTTTATAAAAGTGTATTTAATGTTATTTCCCTATATCTAAATAGTTTTCCGCAATGGTTTCTCTTGTCCTCCTGCATATTTTTTCATATACGAGTGGACTTTGGACTACATATATGTCTAATAGCTATATAAATTAATCAACAATATTATGACATTTTATTAAGTTTCTTATTATATCTTATAAAGTGAGTCGCTGTTGTTATTAACACCTTAATGCCAAGGTTTATACTTATAATACGATATACCCTCCATAGATTTCTTCCCTCGTAACACTTAATAAATGGTGCATGACACTCTATTTTCGTATCACAAAAGAAGTATACTAGAAGTTTTTATCCTTTCCTACGATTGCAAATTGATTGCTTATATTTATTTATTATATTATATGTATATATCACATGCCTTCTAATCAAGGTATCTTGAAGTTTGTTAATGAAAATGACATCTTTTATTTGTATTTGTATTGCCGGAGTTAGGATTCAACTGAAGCAGTACATAGTAGTGTTAGAAGTGTGGTTCATTTTAGTCATTTAATATACTAAATAACATAATACTATATCAGTGTGCAAGAATGTTCTTATTTTGTATTCATAAAAGACGCTGAGTTTATGAGGACCACTTATATATGTAAACGAGGTTGTAATGATATAGATATATATACCTATTAGGAAATCGTCCAAAACGATAATCCCGGGGTGTATCCTCTGATATAGTGTGTGAGATGTGTATGAGTTCATTGACCTCGTGTTCGCGGCTGTCTTCACCGTTAGCTGGCTATCGTTCCTACCTGTACCCTTCACCCTCGCCCGGGGTGCTGTCGCCTCCAGACGTCGTTGCGTGTTTGTACTCCTCTTTTTGTGGCCTGTCTCAGACGCTTCTTCATCGTCCTTTTAAAATATATGCGAGTCTTTTGAATGTCGACCGTTAACAAGCCCTTCGTGGTGTTGCATATGTATGGAACTAAATAAACTATTAACAGGTCACTTGATTATGTCTGTCTCACTAACCTGTACATTGTAAAAAAATCAAATTATTCCAAATATTATTAGTAAACAAGGTCGTGTTTTGCTTATAATTTATTTAATGGTCATATTTTCCCTTCGGTCGTGGAGCGTTTATGGGCGTACTTTTTAATTAGCGCCATCTTCGTCCCAGTTCAACGGCCCTATGGAACTTTGATAGCGTATTGTACGCACGAATATTAAACAAACAATGAACCTTAAAACATTGCATGAAATAAGTATTAAAAAAATTGCATTGATTACTACATTTATATGTTCCAAATAACAGAAAACTAAATTCAAATCTATACGAAATAACATTTCGATTTAACTAAAATTAAATTCCAAGTTTTTTCCATTGTGCTAGAAAATCTCACTAATCTGTCAAGTAGACCCTGATTACTTATTAACCTAAAAACCATTTCAGTAATAGTCGTCGTAAAACGCAATCTCAGAGCTGCGACGTCTAGTAAACCAGATCATTCCTTTAATTAAACGAAGCCACTAACGACATTCATCATCGTACATACAACAGTGGTATAATTTTGGTATTATACAGTAGATATTAAGAGTATTATGTATATGTATAGTATCGCCTCTACGTCTTCTCAGTCCAAACTCCGAGTCGATTTCGCCTCACCGGTTCGATTGTGTCGTGGCGCGTGCCTCGCGCGCCGCCTGACACGCATAACAATATAGTTAAGGTCGCGATACTACACTACGTTTATACTACACTAACGGAGAATCGGCTTCCTTATACACTACACTAACGAACAAAACTTATCGTATGAAACTGAAATAACGAAATTAGGACATACATATTATTATATAAGCATAAAAAAAATACATTCATAATTGACTCGAGTGTTAATTGATGTTTTAAAAGATCATGTTAAATAATTCACATCAAAACATTCCCCTGTATAACAATACACCCTTCATAGATATCAATTTTTTACTTTATATAAATCTGTGTACTGTCCCGACTCCCGGCCGTCAGGTCAGAGGTAATTGTTTTATCATTTCAATATTGGCGCAGATAATCGTGTAATATTGTACAACCGCGATTGTTATCCGTCTCTCTCGCTCCCGTAATGTTTGTACGCGGTCTAGAGAGAGAGGGATAGATAGATAGAGACGGATGGTAAGTGGTAAATCGTTAACTCCCACACGGCCGGTAACGAGTCTAGTCGGAAGAATGCGTTCGACTCCCGTCCGCGGTGCTCGGTACGAGGAGACTGACGACTTACAATACACGCCTCAGAGATATAAAACAGTCTTTATATGTATTGTACGAAGGCTGATAATGATATGTAACAGAGGATTTGAACGTTCCAGTCTCTGAGATATTTAAACGAGTTCTCAGTTTTAGCACTTGATTAGGTTCAGATGACTTTGTAGCTGAACTGTATAACAACAGACATTTGTCTTTCAGTTCATTTTATCTAAAGATACAATACTAGTTTTTTACATTAAATAATTTACTTCATGTACTGTGTATCGATTATATACTTATGTTTTTCATATTATATAAAAATATTGTATTTACTAAAAAACCAAAGAAAATGCATATCTATCGAAAAACATATTTACCATATCAAAGACATATGCAATTACCATTACAGATAAGAATCGTATTTGAAATCATGATACTAATTTATAAATCACAGATATATTTGTGTTTATTATTAAGACCGCTATTAAGAAACTGCATATCGTCCGGCGCTATCTTATCAGAATGTTTTGAAATATATCACGGACCGTAGCCGCAATCAACGATTCTATAACACTAACTGTAAACAAAGAACACGGCGACATGTGTTATCTTGATTAAAGAATCTTAACCTCTAACGCGCGGCTGGTAACAGTAACTGAGAACGGAGCTACATCACGGCCACTAAGACTGATAGTGGGTCCGCGCGATAATAGACGCTAAGATAAACGTGCGGAGAGGCGATAGTCGACTGACGAGTGTATGTAGAATAGACTCCGAGCAGGTAAAATAATACGCGCAATCCATAGCAATGATGAGGTTCGCGGAAGTGGGCGACATGCGGACCGGAGCCGGGCGGCCGCTGACTAAATACAATACGTTATGCTTACGGTACATCACCTACATAATACGTTCTATATAAACTGATCGTCTATTTAATTATCACGTCTGTGCAAAAAATATTTTATATGCACGTGCGAGAACACACGTCACGCGCCACTTGTTTTTATTTCATACTACATAGCTCAGGCTATCGAGTGGTGTGGTCCTCGTCTCAATGATCTAGTTTGGGCTGACATTCTGTTGGTCTAATTTATCTGTCGATGATGTTAATACTCTGTAATCTTTGAATTTCATTCGCTTTGTAAATGTATTGCAATGTATGCTGTTATGCCATATATGTGTCTGTGACGTCACGTAGTAAAAATGCAGTAGCGAAGTGCAGGGGGCGCTGTGCTGCGCGCGCGCGCACTCGCCGCCACTCGTCCTCACTCAACTAGTAACGTAAACCCGCGTGTTGCCGCTCCGTCATCGCTTCCTCTCACTTTCGCGATGCTCCGTCTCTTTCTATCCGTCTATCTCCGTCTCTCTCTCTCGCCTAGCGGTGTTCGACTTTTTTTTGTCCGTGCAGTTTTTTCCGTTCTCGGTTATACTCCCTTTACGTACATTGTTGAGACGGAACTGTTATTTTTAATTGTTTATAAAAATTATATGGCAGTGGAGTCTGTTTGTTCAAGAAATTTATACGGTGTTTTATTAACATGATATACATTGGCCGTGATATTACCGCTTCGAATAAATATATTTTATATTGGTTACATATTTTAATTTAATATTGTATTTTACGAATTCTTTAATAATATTATGTAAAAAAAACATGAAAACTGAACAGGCCGTATTTTTGGAAAATAATATTTATGCAAAAAAAATACGAACCGTTTAATCGCCTGTCTGTTTATTGATACTGATTTCCATCTAATATGGTATCACTTTTAGAATCAAAGCGTTATGACAAATTGAATCTTATATTATTTGAATTAATAATTACAATTTCAAAGTAAATAGTTATCTGGAGTAGCGTGTTATAAGTTGAAATTTATATCGGATTTAGAGAAGCCGTGCGATTGTGATATCGAAACAGGTTACTACTCGATCAAATAACACGAAGTTTAACTATTGAATATAGTATGAAAATATATATTATTATATTGAATACGTTATATTATAATATGATTGAATGTGTGTGTTATGTTGTATCGTCGGTCGATGCGTGCTCACGTCATACTATAGAAAGTGAGTCGGTCCCGCGTGAGCGCAGCCGCCGTTAGAAAGCGACCGAGCGACCGCCGAAAACATTGTACGGTATGCGACACATCGAGCGGATCAGGCGGATGAGCATAGTATACACAAAAATGACACATGCCTCAAATCTCTCGCCGATAGTACGGCGGACGGAGATCACATACAATCATAGTCATACCCGGCCCGGAATTAAACTCGTCCCCCTTACGACATTAGGTGGATGCGACCCCACGCGTGTCTGCCAGGTGTGGACCCTCCCCTGCAGATGGTAACGTGTCGCTCAAGAACGTTGACCCTCCCACCGACGGATGTTACGATCCAGCGTAGCAACAACGCGAGCTACTCACCTTTCGACCACTTTGGCTCCTCATTTTTTATAGGCACATTTGTTTTATTGTGAGAGAATACGTAGAACGATTAGGCGGCGTTTTATACGAATTAAACCGAAGGAAGTATTATGCAAAGATTAATCAGATATAACTTACGTTTTCCCATTGTAGAACGTTCAGTTACGATTCTGCACGCAATATTATGTAGTACTGTTATGAGTTATCACGACAACTTTGGTAGCAAGGTGATTTATATAGAGCTATAGAAATAATAAAGTATTCCCTATATTCCTTTCTGGTTTTGTTTAAGCGATAGGTAATCTCATGAGACAATCAGCTGAGCCCTGCCTGTGTTTCAGACGGAGTTGTATGGCATAAAATGGCGTAAGCTGGTGTGGGGCGAGACGAGCGGCGCGTGCGGGGAGGGCGAGGAGGGCGCCGCGCCGCTCGCCGACCCCGTCATCAGCAGCTACGCGCGCTGCCTGGCCGGGGACATCCTGTGCGTGTGGCGGCGCGTGCCGGCCCCGCAGCCCCTCGACATAGACATCGGGCTGGCCGCGCCGCCGCCCCTCTCCCTGCGCGCCTCCAAGGAACTCTGGATCTTCTGGTACGGCGAGGAGCCGGACCTCAACGGGCTCGTCGCACCAGAACTCATCACGAGCCGTGAGTACATCACACATACATACATACATAAACGATGCTACGCCAGGCCAGCGTCCTAATGAATAAACTTAACAGATCGTTTAACGAGTCTCCCGGAGAGTTTGTACAGTCATCGGTAACGATTACGAGACAGATTAAGAGCCCGTGACAACAGACCGTGCTGACGACTCTCAGAACTTGACACGTCATTATATAGATGACGGTCAACATTCACTTACAGTAATACAATAATAACTATATATACACTATATGTATGATAAAATATTAAATCGGTTCAATATTGATAACATAATAAGAAATAGTTTAACCAAGTTCCTTATACGGAATATGTATTAACACATGTCTTCAAACATGTGTGAATAGAGTTAACGAAAACACGTCTGGAGTAAAAGTGTTGGCTGTGTGTCAAGAAAAGTTTATTGCATCGTCGAAGCCTGTCGAAGGCTAGTTACGTACAAGTTCGCTGTACTTACAACAGGTGGTTGTGGTCGTATCAACATACAGTCACCCACTTGAAATACTTTTATTATGATACAGATTTCGTAAAGTATTCGAACCTTAAGTTTCCGATAACATTACATTCTTCGTTTTTCTTTAATGTGTGATTGTATAAACATTTTTTATTGTGTTACGTGTGCCGTAACTAATCTCAAAGTTACTGTTAATAGTTAGAAACTTTTTAATGGACACGTTGAGTAATATAACAACATTGTCGATTGCCAACGAACACAACGTTAAGGAGACACGGCCTGGCTGTTCTGTCCGCTTGTCTTCGAAACACTGTTGATATGGAGACAATTATATTGTTACCAAATAGAGACATACGAGTTCTGATTAACATATGATATGGAAGGATTTGATGTTTTAGAAGGCGTGTTAATGTGAATGTAGCGCTCCATATTCCATACATAGCTTCTGTCGTTTCGAAATGTTACCTATGGTTTATTTTGCTGCAGTAACATAAGTGTTGAATATATTCCTTTATTTATTCGGTTTTGTACGTCTATATAATTTATATATTGAAAGCCCGTCCATCTCCGTCGATCGGTACAAGTTCACGGGACTGCGATTCCCGAAATAGCTCTGGACACAAATATAACACAAACGGCCCTTATTTTAGATGCTGTCCATCGCGACGCTGCTCCTCTGAGTTTACACTCAAGGTTTCTCTTTGTTAATTGTTGTTTAATCTTTATAAAAATGTGAATTTCGTGCCAAAACATGTTCCGACATATAATAAACGTCTTTAACAAAGTGTTCTCCGAATCTCATTACCTGTAAATAGCTCTCCGCTATCCTCGTTCTGTTTTCCTTGTGTACATATAGTGTATAGTGATCTCGTTTTTATCACTAACAACAATAATTCCTATTAACTTAACCGGTTTTGTTTGTTAATAGAACATATCTAATTACGATTTACTATAGATATATTAAAAAAATAACATTCGAATGTATAACATTTACTACGTTTATTTGATATTGTAGAATGAGATCTCAAAATTTCACCATTAAGGAAGGCATTAGCGCGGGCGCCGAATTACGTAACGTGACACCTATGTGCGAACTGGTATTAATGATATAACGTGTACCGCTTATACAGAGAGGCTTCGGACGTGAAACAGAACGTTCATTGAATAACATATATTTGATTGTTTGTTATTTTTATAACATGATGATTTAAGGGCAAGGTTAATTTATATAATAAAGGAAGCCCCGTATTTAAGTTTAAACTAAATTCATTATTTATTTAAGTTTTTAATCGATTAATAGCCAACTTTATTCATCTTTGATCTCTTCAAAAGATATATGTGTTGAAAGAACTTATAACGTTAAATTGTAGCTATTGTTATATCTGTTTCAAAATTCGTCAAAGCACATGATAAAGAGCGTAGGATCCCTCTGGGATGCTGCGTCAGATCGAAGGGCCAACGGAAATAACCGAATGTCTCAATATACAAGCCAATATCGCCTGGAAGCATGACTGATGTAGTTGATGATGAAAGAATATTTGATAGAACTATGTACATAGAAGTAATAGCCAGGAGATCAAACAGACTAGAGAGTTCCGACGGTTTTTTACTGGTTTTGGCGCCAAATTATAATTATATTGCAAAAATATTCAATATATACATCTGATTAACTAACTTAGTCTATTATAGTAGTAGCAGTGATGTCTATATTAGCAGTTTGTCGTAGTTAAGTGTACTTAACCGTATTTGAAAGGAGATTAACTGTTCGCGGCAGTCGGCGGCGGTGTGTTCGCTACAACTGATAATCTCTTTATACGCGCGCGCGATGGATGGAGGGTACTTTACAACGGATTGACGGTACGAGGGAACTTTACTTACCGATACTACACTTTAATATAGAGATTTTACAACTTTCAATGGCATTTTGTATGGAAACGGAGCTATTTCGATTCAAAGGAACTATGGATTGATGTTTTACACATAGATGTTTTGTTATTTAAATATGTAACTTTAAAATGAAAGTGCAAGAAAGTTGAATCTCGTTTTGCCATGGACAGGATAATGTATTGATAAAAATAGAAGGATAAAAAAATAAAATAATTGTGTAATTTCAACATAAGAATACACGAGTGAAATACTGGTAATAAAATAAGTCCATTGTTATACAATATATGTAATGATTCATTCCAATGATGTGATTCGATTTTCCTCTGTTTGACGTGTGACCATACTAAATACTGTCTCCGCGGCGCTCGCTGTACATATCACGTCTGATTAACACAAACAAGCGCGTACATGCTACAGTACTTTATAGAAGTAACTTTATTTAGCTGACTCTGGCAATAACGGGCGATCGTTTACCATCAGTCACTCGGTATTACCGCTAAAGCTCTCCGCAATCAGAGCAGAGCTCACATACGACCGTAATATATTAAACACAATTTTCTGCGTCATATATTTTATTGAGCGTTGTCATATTTTAAGACGGTAAGCCAATTTGTTTTGGTCTCCGCTCCAATATCCGTCACAACTTCGCTAACTTCGTCTGTGTGCTCCGAACACGAGTTCCGAGGTGTTCCTTTGAGCGACCGCCAGCCGCTACCTACACTATGATAGTTTATATTAATCAGTGTCGATGGATGCAAACCTGATTACTCTCACGGCGCTCATGGCGGATAGAGTTTCGTCGCCCGGAGCCAATGGCACGTAGGCGGGAGAGGGCACCGGGCGCAAATGTCGAGCCACCCCCCAGGCCCCATGAACCCACTTCACAGGCTTCCATCGTAACGAAATTAACAAAGGTCAACATCAAAGACGGTCAAATACATCTGTATATAACAGAGAATGGACTATAAACTACCGAAGAGCGTGTATTTATTATATTGAGGAGTATGTTGCATCACCGTTACCCGCAGCAATTAAGGGATCGTATCTGGAGGAGGTGCAGTCCCCGGGGGGTGAGGGGGGCGGGGGTGAGGGAGGGGCCGCTCGTGCCGCCACCACCGCAGTTATTTATTCATTATGCGGACCATATCGCCCACAATGAGCATCCATAATATTTAATCGTTTAAAGCTGCATTTTAAACGATTGTATTAATGCCACCGACGTTCGCGGTACATAGTGACACTGATATTTATTATATTTGTCGATTGGCTCTGTACTGCAATGAAAATAAAGACTTTATATGTAATATCTCAAACTGTTCAGAAATTTTAAATAATTTAAGATATTTTACTTTGTAGTTTGTACTTGGTAAATGTTCTTTTAACCATATTCAAATATAAAGTATAACATTTCATGTAATACATAAGCTCTCAACGTTGTGTACAGTAAACTGTATTATTAGGCGATATTTGGAACTAAAACTGTTTTGTAATAAACACTAATGAAAGCTTTCATCCCGATGCACATCACTAATGTTTGACTAAACGTGTGACACTAAACTGTATAAAACAGTTATCATTTAAATCAGCCTCGTGACGAGCGTTTTAAAATGTCGTGTTAATTATAATAATACTCCAGTTGGCTGGCGTCGGAGAGTAGCTCGGAGAGTGGTTCAGTGAGCTGCGAGGGTGATTTAGTGAAACAGTCTGCGAGTTTAACGCTCACTATAGCTGTAAAGTCAATAGCCTCACTAGAGCCCGTGATAAAGTGCGGGGGCTTACACGCTTGGCACAGAGAGGCGCGGGCTCGGCGGCCGGCGTGCTCATATTGATCTGTTCACCCTAACCCTTGGCGCTCAACACGTGTACTCGCGCTGTGACCTTCAATATACACTGTTATAATGATATAGGAATGAATACGTATCGAATGCTTTTACATACTATGAGAAACTAACTTCTGACATGTGATAAATAATATCTAACTTATTTAAAATACTAAATTAACCTATTCAGTATATTTAAATACTATAATATTTATATTGTATCATGTGAAAGCTGAACCAAAATGTGCTCCATCATAATAATATCGATGCGGCGTACAAGCGATGGTGGCGCGCGATAAATTAGGTGCGAAGTGGCGCGAAGACGGCGATAAGTGGCACCGCGCCGACAGCAGCCGCTGGTCGATACCACCACCCACCACCCGCAACAACGAAACTACGCCGGTTATAACAAATAAACAAACAGTGGCATTACATGCATATATTATTCAAGCGATACCCTAAATTTCGTTGATTTTTTCCAGTCGTTTTAACTCTATCAGATGTAACGAAGCCGGAGTCCGTTTAAAGTCTAGACGGATTTACTTGCTCGTGAAGTTGTAATTAGACGATTAATGTAAGCGATCGTGTTGCGAATTACTCGTTGTCGCGTTTATATGAACCCCGCATTAAGCCTCGCGAAGCCAACAACATGTCCACGTTCAGTGTTGCTAAAAGGTTTTTCATATATGTCATCCTAAAACAATATAAAAGCAAACCTAATTTTCTAACGTTTGATACAAATGGTTTGCCAAAAAGTTTTACTTTCGTACATAAGTTCGGACGTTCGACTGGTTTGATACAACTGGTCGGAGCGGGTTTGCCCCCGGTCAGTACCGACACCTGATCCTCGCTGCACATGTCTCCACGGACAGATGTTCGGACTTCAAAGGCCTTAAACAGATAGCAATAGTGTCAGTATTCTAAATGTAATTCATATTTCGTCCCCCAGACATTAATGCACCAAGCTATACTTGTATTTTCTTGTGTTACACACGAGTGTCGTTTGTCTCCGCCGGTGGGATGTCTTGGTGAGAGCAGTCGTTGACCCACAGCGCGCTCCACTTACACCATGATGTATGAACCCTCATACACTACTACATGGATACAGTCTACGTTCATATACATAGATCTCTCTGGCTCTGAACCGTTGTCGTCTCCTTGTATTGTCAAATATTATCTCGTGAGGGGTGATCTGTTTGTATAGGATGGATAAAGAGACTTACACAGGTAGGTACAACCGACTCCGGGATACTTTTAATATAAAAGAAAAAAAACGATTATAAGTTTAATGACTTCTAGCCTGAGATGTATTTTAATTATTTAATGCAGGCGTATAAAGAAATTAAAATATAGTTCTTTTCTATTAGATGCCGTTTCAAAATAATAAAAAAATAGGACATTACTCGTATCTTTGTGAGAATCAGATTTAAATAAAAAACCCGAAATATGTTTCTCTTTTTAACGAATATGTCGTATTCAATAATAAATGTATTAGTGCATTCGATGTTAATGGAGTCAATAGTGAAACTGTACATTTTGATGTTGATTCTGTTCGACCTAACGTTAAATAATATGGTAACGACCCGTTACAGTAATTGGTCGGGAGATCGCGGCCGACGCTATACTACAACACACTTTGAATTAACCGTTAAATAAATGGATTTATTATATACACGGAGATTGTTTTATATTCTATAAAGGATAATATCAACGTTGGACTTTATATGACCAATAAAAATTCAGTTTATAACATATTTATAATTGCATTTTAATAAACACAGTGTAATGCAGAAGTCGTCAAAAAAACTGTACTATCTAAGTAGACCCTTCAAAACGTCGTTGACATCCGTAACTCTGAGAAATTAGGCGGAACGCTTGCTGCCGGCCGTGGGAAAGGTCTCCCTTTCTCTCTCTGTCTCTCGTACTACTCCTTACTCTTTACTCGATATCTGTAACGGTGGTCTGCTCTTAGTCTATACTATGTCAACTTTAAATTACATCTCCATACTATCGTCACCAAGTTCGTTAGCATGAGGTTCTCTCGCGTGTTTAATTCCGTCGTCACAGTAAGTGCTGGTGGTTTCGTTTTATTAATAAAGTCTCGCTGCTCGTATCGGAGGCCTATTTATCGCTGCGCGCGCGCCTTGCGGCCGTCGATCGGTTCCCGCCGCTCACATAACACGGTCATTAACTCTCGGATCAATACCACTACTATCGCTCCCTAATATCGTACGCGTTTTTATTTAATGCGATTTAATAAAGATCACTTTAGAGATATTGTTTAGCGTTTTGATATTCATCTACATATTTGTTTCGTTTTAAAAATGTCCGGAATGTGTTTAAACTTTATATGATATTTTTTTTATGAATGTTGGTGTGTTGGTTACCCGTGTCCACATTACCCGTGTGTGGTGTGTATACTGTATGTCCGTGATAGCTAGAGAATGTGAGAGGGAGACGTCGCGATGCAAGCTGCGTAACTCGCGCAGATGGCTTGGAGAGCCTCCCGCACCCGCGCCGCGCCCGCCGGCTACGTGTGAAGAGGTCACGTTCACATAACAACACCCTCACAGATTTATAGCAACATGTACCAACACATTAAACGGACATTATATAGTTAATCTCTGTCCAGGAACTTGTAATCAAACCGATCGCTGTCTGTTATCAGTCACTCTATAAAGAAGAAGCTGTCCAGCTCGTGTATGTGCGGTGTGAGGTGGTGTGTCGCGGGCGGTCCGTGACGTGTGCCCGCGGCCCGGCCGTGACGTCACGATCACGTGGGGCGCGTGCGACAGAGACAGCACGATACACACACGCTATATACACACATTGATTAGAAATTTGTATCGGACAGAGATCTGACTTAGATTTAGATCTGCAAAACGTGATAACTGAGCTAGATAAAAGAAAAATATTATCATAATATTTTTAATGTTTTATTATTAGCAGATATCACAACATAATATGTATGTGACACACAGATGCATTTCTCTCGTTGTAAGAGTTGGTATGAAAACAATGTGTGTGTATCGCTCGCGGCATGGCGTTGTAAACAAATGTAGCTTGCCGCATTGACGCGACGTTGCCGCCCCGTGCTGAACACTGCCGCCCGCCCAGCGGACTGACACTACCACCGATAACCACCTAATATACATTACAATATATGTTTATTATCCTATCTTAGACATAAAATTGTAACGGTAAAAGGGATATATGTCAACATGTTCAGTGAGAGGTGATCTCTCTTAAGATTAAATGATTGAAACATCATAAGGGCGCAGCTGATGTATGAGATCAGTCTTTAATGTTCGTGGACATGATGGATATCAACACACAAACATTATTATTATCGTTGTTGTATCGTGAAAACCGCATCACTAACGATGCACGCGAGTCACACGCCGCAGCATGTTAGTCTCTGTCCTCACACCCAGCTCTATATTCTTCCTCATTACGCTTATATGTAACGCTCGCCATGATGCGATGTCTAGTTATAATCTAATGTTGGTAATACTTCCGCGTTTCAACATATTTTGAACACTCAAAGTAGTCATAAAGTTGTCAAATAGTATGGAATTTTAATGTAGCGGACCTAAGCTTTATGTGTTCTGTATAACTTGGTCATCGTCACGTGTCACGGTGAACTTCATAAATCGGCGTCCCGTCTACAGCGTCACATTAAATACAATGTTTTATGTTCGATCACATTCATATATTTGAGTACGGCTCGCTCCGGTGCCGCCGGCTCAATCGTTGATTTCGTAAGCGGGAATACATTAGAGAGGGAGACGAGTGTCTGTCTGGAGAATAGGTTACAAACGGTGACGAAGTGACACCTCGGGGATGATGATCGTCTCGCGATAGTTGGTGGAGGGCGGGCCGGCAGGGCGGCGGCGCGGAAGGTATCGATCCCTGGCCGCCACCACGCGGGGCCGGATCGAGACCGGACCGGGCCGGGCCGGGACCTCGCGACCTTGAAACACCCCCCCCCACTAATAATGAGCGCATTCCGTTACACTTCTCTAGTGTCCGACATGAAATTAACGTCTTTTTAATCGTTACATTTAGTTCACTCATCTGTAGTATTTTTCTTCCAATATTGTAACATGTTGAATGATATAGGATCTCGTAATTAGTGTATAAGTTATACGGTGGGCTACCGTTGCTGGCTACAGACATTATATTTGTAAATAGTTATATTCTAATGTACTATGACGATGTTACCGTCTACCGGTAGTAACTTCGTTCTATCCAGCGTAGAGTACTCAGGAGTAGGTCGGTCCGCGGTTGGACTGTATGTACATTGTACAGTAATATAACCGTCCGCGGAGACGGCCTTGCCGTTTTGCTAGATACGGAGAAATCGAACGACCAACACGATAGAGACTGCGGTCCGACATAGTGTTACTGAACCTTGTATTATACTAGCGTACGATACCTACGTGTCGAAGATTTATCGATATTGTTACCACATGCCCCACCGCCGTGCACATCATTAACCAGGCAGGATGATCGGAATCTTAATACGTCTCCCTCGACCAGTGGATTTATCTAATTAATTTATGATGCTCCGTCCGCGGACACTTGTCTCCTCACTAGACGCCCTTGAATGTCTTCAACTGACAACTCTCGCCGTGTAGCTGCGAGAATGAAAACGGGACGTGTTATATTATTAAAAACTGGTTCCGTGACACCGAGCTGAATCATTGTTGTTGTTGTACTGAACGTTTGTCAGTTTGACGCTATTTGGATAATGTTCGAGGACGTTTGTGGTGGAGATCATGCTCGATAGAACGGTCTGAGAATGTTAGCGGGCGGTAGCTACTGGAAAAAACTAGTTGTAGAGAGAGGGGCGAGAGATGGCGCGCACACCTGGAGCACGAATGTCAAGGCTGCGCACGAGGGGCTTGGAAACGATCCAGCATCCAGCGGCCACACGCGGGGAGTGCACACTGTATGACTGACAGTAATATAATAGTTACATATTAAAAGCGAAACATGTGTATATGTTTACAAAATATAAGCTGAACAACGTGCTAGAAATTTCTCACTATATTTACCAAAGCGGCGAGTCTACGGCTTGTTTTACTTATATCATTTCGTTGCGATAAACTCAAGTGGAAAATTCAATGTCAATTAAAACGTTAGTGTCGCTGACGTTTCGCATGTGTGTCGTGTCGCGCGACAAACACGGGCACGTGCACCGGGCCGGCTCGTTACGTCACGGGGTGCTCCGCCCCCCTCCGCCCCCCGCCCCCCGCGGGACAGAGACGGAGCGAGCCGCGTATTGTTTTTCAAAAAGAAAACGCCGGTGATAGGACGAGGTTATCTTCTGATTGCGGCAGGAGAATGAAACAATGCTCTGCTTGTAATACCTCGACGGGTCGTTATCAACAACACGATGCGCGCTTATTGTTGTTGATATTTGATAGGCGCCCGTGACCTCGGCCCCTGTAACACACTGTTACAGACTTCATACAGATACAGCGGATTTTAAATATGTAATAGGCTAATGACTAATGAGCTTCCTCTATAGTTTAAGTCGCGATTGGAACACTCAATGCAGATCGAATGTCTCTTTATGTCAACAGGACTGCAGAATATAATATAAAATAAAAGAGTCACATATAATATGTAATATTGAAAAACGTTTTTTTCCTTTTTTTGTTTACAGAAGGCGATCAAGGTTCCTGGGAGAGCGGGCTGTCGTACGAGTGTCGCTCGCTGCTGTTCAAGGCGTTGCATAATTTGATCGAAAGGTATTCGCTTGAAGCGTGTCGTAAATTACATACTATTACATCATATTAATATTATTATAACACAATCATTTTATATATTAACTTTGATTTGAGTATTCACATACATACATTGTGTTCCATAGTGTCAGTTTGTCGAGTGGTTTACACTCAGTAGTTTATCAAGAACAAAACATGCAGCGGGGACACTGCACCGGTTTGAGGAGCACTCGCTATACACACACACATACACGCACACACACACATACGGGACATACATACCGTTGGAGTTATATCATCATTATACGCATAGTTTTGAGCGAGGATTCTGCATGGACTTATAATGATTACAAAAAGTCGAAAGATTACCAAACTGCTAGTGCTAGGAGGCTGATCCGACTTATTGAAATGGAATATAATGAAAACAAATATGAAAATCATATTAACTGGATATAAAGCATATACTGAACTTTAATAATAAAGAAACGTGTTATTATTATTTCAAATACATAAAATATGTATGAACAAAATTATTGCTTTATATAAATTACAACCCATAATATTGTAAACTCAATCAAGTCGTAACTCGTAAGACAGCATTGTTATTGTGACGATTCTATAATTAATTCATCGGTTATGTCACCGTGTGGACGGAGCTGACCGGAGTCATGAGTTTTTAGAACGATGTATTATAAACTATTATTAAGTAAAACACAATTGAATGAAAAGTAATTCAAACTTAATGGGAGGTGCGCGAGCGCATTGCTAGGTTTTTATAGGGGACTACCGAAAATCAAGTTTATTAGTAATAGTCACTATTAAATACGACTATTTTCTAAGTTCGAGTTCTCTCAAATAGTAGGGGTCAGTTCCCTGTCCCTGTATTATATCGATGCGTGTGCTATACAATGGTTGGTCGGTGTGTGAGCGATAAAAACAGTATCGCAAGCAGGCGGCCGACGGATCTCGGATATGAACGAAATCCAGACGAGTCGACGACCCCGGCGGCCGGCACCTCAAACAAACAATGCGAGCGAACAACGCGACAATATACTTACCTTACACGCTTACTAGCTGAGGATCCTTATACATATGTATGTTTAATATATTTAAAAAAAAATCGCCTTACTTAAACATAGTGATACTATAGAATTAAGCTTTTTAAATTTTTGTAATAATGACAATAATGTTGTATTATGAACGTCAATTAAACCTCTACAGTATAGAGAAAGACGAAATGTATATTTTTTTTTAACATTTTATGATCCGTATCATTCGTCGCGATACCGCCTAGTCCGCGTCACTTTACGCCTCCTTCAAGGAGCGCAGCCGCGTTATAGTAAACTTTTAACGGCTTATAAGTTTAACGACTGTTTCATCGTTATGAATTCATGTTTTGATTCGTTCGTACTTTAATGTCATATAAAGATACAATGCTCTAATAAAATGTGCCCGCAAAACTGTTTACAAATGTCACGACTACTTGATAAATAGTAAGACGTAAAACGAACGACTCAATCGCTCCTAGTTGGCTTTGATATTTTAGAGTAATATATATCTATATTAATAGAAAGTATTATGTATATAGCAATTATATTGTACGGAGGAGGGAACAAAGCTTTGTGGATATAAAACATGGAAGTATTAAAAACAATACAAAGGTATCATCACGCTGCGGAGCACAGATGTCGTCGCTGTGGGGACACTCGCATGGAGCGCATACAAAGTGCGATACACATATAACACTATACATAGCCTTACAACACGGATATGGCGCTAATACACTATGGTGTAGTTATTCGCTCGATATAATTATATTTAGTTATCATTTTATAAATGTTTGACTTAATTCTGCTATTTCAGATGTCTTCTGTCTCGCGACTTCGTTCGTCTCGGCAAGTGGTTCGTGCAGCCGTACGATGGAGACGAGGAAGATGTCGGCAAAAGGTTTCCGCTTATTATATATAATAAGGATAGACACTGTCACTGACTGTCGGAGGTTACACTTGTTCCGACTTTATATGGGTCGTATACAAGTATACTATCGTGGTAAAACACGAAAGATGACTTCCTAGATTAATATGAAGATCTCTGTGTTACACTCGTCAAGCCACCAGAGTGAGACTTCGTTTCACCTTCAAACAATACAAAAAAGAAAAATTTTAAATATCACACCTCTGCTCATCCACGTATGTGTGGTGTATGTAACGTGTTCCATTATTATTCCAGCAGTCCGTGGCACCTGTCGTTCTCGTTCGCGTTCTTCCTTCACGGCGAGAGCACGGTGTGCGCCTCCGTGGACGTGCGACAACACCCGCCCGTCCGCACGCTCACCGCCAAGAGACTCGCGCGTCTGCACACGCCGCCCGCCGACCGCCGCGGGGACAACAAGGGTGAGGGACCGCGTGTGGCTGACGGACTTACAGTGGAACGAGGAACTAAACGACCGACCTCCGCTCACAGTGATCCTGGCACCCTTCGGGCTGGAGGGACGCGTCACGGGCAGAGAGTGGGGCGAGAACGACCCCGCCACGGCGCGCCTGCTGGACGCGTGGCGGCAGCTGTACCCGCTGGAGCAGGGCTGCGGGGCCGTGGAGGTGGAGTGCGGCGGAGTACGCATACCCTACCCCGCACCTTACGCGCTGCTCACCGAGATGGAGACCTGCCGGGACGCCGCGCCGCCCGCCGCCGAGCTGGCCGCGCGCGCGCACTGGCCGCGCTCGCCACGCCGCACCCGCACCAGGTACACGCACACACGCACACATACATACACACACGGCGGGGAAGTGGGAAACGGTGATCCCCATGATGGTCGGGGAGCCCCGAGTACGCTTCCGACAGACACCGAGCTCATATACTGATGAATATTATTGAGAAGTATAATAATTCAGGTATACAATCTCGAACATTTGTCCACCTCTAACACCCCCAACGATTCAAGTTTTCTGCTAAGATAGACCACTTCGATCTTGTGTCTTGAATAAAGTTTTTGATAATACCCCCCTATAATGGTATTTTCTACAAAAAATCCTTTACGGTGGTTGCTGCTCAACTTTGGAATTCTCTTCTGGGCTATACAGGGTGACTGGTGAATTACTATCGATATTTGAGGACGTGATATTTGACGATCATATATGACAAAATAAAAATTAATATAACATAAATATTAATAAACTTCTAAGTAAAGTTAACCAAAAGTTATGTAATTAATTACGCATCGTATGAACACCCTACAGATTAGGTATACACACACACTCACACAGACGCGGCGGCGGCGTAGTGTTGTATCAGCACGCCGCCGCACGCGTCCACACTTGGAACACTTGGAACGTGTACACACTTTATTTATTTATACGGAAATTTGGTCAAAAATTAAGTACCTATTTTTTTACATAATTCGAATGAGAATCATGTACAGAGTATGCTCCTTAAATATTGATAGTAATTCACCAGTCACCCTGTATAATAAAAAATTGTAATTCAGTACATACATTTAAATTCAGTTTAAAAAATATTATCTTACAGTTTCATCACAATATTAGAAATTAGATATATATACAGGGTGACTGGTGAATTACTATCGATACTTGAGGACGTGATATTTGACGATCATATATGACAAAATAAAAATTAATATAACATAAAAAATATTCATAAACTTCTTAGTAAAGTTAACCAAAAGTTATGTAATTAATTACGCATCGTGTGAACACCCTACAGATTAGGTATACACACACACACACACTTGCGCGCGGCGGCGTCTTGTTGTATCAGCACGCCGCCGCACGCGTTCCACACTTGTAACACTTGGAACGTGTCAACACTTTATTTATTTATACGGAAATTTTGTCAAAAATTAAGTGCCTATTTTTTACATAATTCGAATGAGAATCGTGTACCGAGTATTCTCCTTAAATATTGATAGTAATTCACCAGTCACCCTGTATATATAATATGTATTTTATTTTGTATATTATATGTAAGTACCTATATATTATTTGTATTTATGTAAATTAATATGTAATTTATAATAGTTGTATGTATATTTAAGTATGTTTATATAAAGTAATAAATAAAACGCATTTTAATTATTCTCTTTGTCACCTAAATTAAAGATGTACCTATCTTACCTGTCATTTAACATAATATTACTCACACTCCAGGGTGGCTGGAAGAGAGAGAGAGAGCTAAGATTTTCCTATGTATCACTTTGTTTCTTTGTTATTCTTTTTTTTATGTGTTACTTGTTTTTGGTACATGAATAAATAAATAAAATCCCTCTCTGTACTCATCCCCGCCCTGTACGGCTGTGTGTTTCAGACGGCGGAGGTGTGTTACTCGGAGCCGGCGGGGCGACCCTAACGACGACTTCCTCGACCCCACCAGGAAGACCCCATGTACCTGCGCCAAGTGAGTACACCCTGCGACATTCAGCATATGTACATGTATGTAGATATACAGTTTGGATGGACAGGCGGCTCGACTAGTGTGGCGACGTGTACCTTAACGTTACTCGTTTTGTATTACTCACAATACCCTCACCGCCCCATACTTGTCGAGCCGTGTGCGGATGGTAGTTATATATAGTATTATGTATGCAGTAGAGCAGTATATAGCATTAGATGTACGAGCGTGTTGTGGCAGCATTTATCTTTATGTATGAACTATCAAATTAATACGTATGTATGGAGCGTCGGCGCGACCGACCTCCTGTAGCTCCGTAACGTATGTAGAGTGTCAGTAGAGAAGCGAGGCGCGACGACAGGTAGATGTTATGAATGTGAATGTCTCGGCATAGCGCGGCCCGTAGTGGACGGACCTTTAGAAGGTCCCCTTCAGAAATGGCAGAGCTCTCGGTCGCCAGAGAGCGCTTCCATTTCGTACGGCAGGCCGGTAGAGGGCGACACTAGCGTGACGTTGTGCAGGTGGCGGCGCCGGCGGTCCGCGCGGCCCCCCGCCCCCCGCCCTTCCACCGCCGCCCGCCCGCCCGCGCGCGCCCGCCGCCGTGAGTACACGGCCGAGTACACCACCTAGCGCTCACCGCATGCTTGGGCTGCCTTGTACTAGTCGCTTGTATTACTAACACCCTTGTATCTGTTATGTATGTGTGCTTGTGTTGACCCGACGAACTGTCGCTGCATGGTGGCATGCTACTTATTAATATAACACTCGCCTCACCTCACCGCATGGGAACTACCGACTTGTGTGTGGTAAACACGAACATACCATTAGTGTTAGTACTGTGAATAACTTGGGAAAAGACGATGATCACTTGTTACAATGAAATAATGTCCCTTGTCATAGTTTCGTTTAATCTATCGAATCATGTTTGAAAATTTGAGTACATATTTTGTTCCATGTTAAAATTGATCAAAGAGCGGCGTCGAGTTCATTCCGCCACACATAGTAACATCTACCTCTCACAACATAACTCGCACGCTCATCTCCACCCGTCGGTCTCACAGACATGTCACTCATTGGAACATTCAGTTTGTTGTCCCGGGGTCGCGGCGGCCGTCCGCCGTCTGCGGCCTCCGCGACCCCGCCCTGACCGACCTCTCCCCGCCCTACAGAGCTAGTGGTTGCGGCGCGGGGTGTGCGGGCGGAGGGGGCGCCTGCTCCCCCGGCAGCTGCGGGGCCTCGCCTGCCGCCGCCACCTCGCCCGCCGCCCTCACGCACGCGGCTCACGGACAACTCACCGCCCTGACGACGCACCAGGTACGGCCCGCTCCACGTACACCTGATGAGTCACTCCTTCACGTTTACTTGACCGCCACTTGTATCGCAGCAGGTCAGCGTGCCCACGACGCTCCACACGCCGGCGCCGACGCCCGACCCGCTGGCGCCGCCCACCCCCCGCCCCGCCCTCCGCGCCGCCTCACAAGCTGTACGCGCAGGGCGAGTCTCCTGTAGGAGCGGGGGCGGGCCGTGCGCGGGCCAGGCTCCCCCCGAGGCGCTCCGGCGGCCAAGCCTGCCGCCGCCAGAGAAGAGGCTCGACCCGCTGGAGGACGAGCACTCGCTGCACATGCTGTACGACTACACCACCGTGCACGCCTGGTCAGTCACACACACACACACACTACAACAACACTCAGACGTGTCCACTGGATCCCTCCCAATTGAATCATAACATTTACACTTTTTTAAAATAGATGGCATTTAACACGCATTTTAATTTGAATTGAATAATGCCAGGAATAGATTTCATGTGATATTAAAGAAGATACTGGGAAATTAATTTTTGTACCAAAATATAATGTGTGTGATATCTGTTCATGTCTCTCTCGTGGCGATCAGGTATTGTAAACATATATATATTTATGGACACGAATTATTTTCTTATTATTCTTATATAATTTTCTTATTCTCCCTTTATTCATTTCTTAACATGTGGTTGGTTATTTCTTTTTTATCATTATATTGATTTTTTTTTATTGTCCACGCTTTTAAAATAAATTATATATATTTTTCGAAATTATTGTGGATAATTTTATAAAAGAATATTTATCAACAATTATACTTAATATCATAGAGACCGTTTCGTTGACATACATTAAACATTTTACTGCGAGATAATAACACGGTCGCGTCAAAAGAAGAATTTTTCGACGTGAATCTACATCTCGCTACAACAATGACCGTGTAGCGCATCAGGGTCGTCTCAAGCTTACGACGGCTGCGTTCATTGACGGTTACAAGATAGAGATTTCGAAAATAGATATAAATATTAATGCATGTCCATAGAGCTGTTCACTCCACGTACCCGAGCTCGTGCACATATGTTAACTGGTGTTATTCCCAGGCTGGAGCACCCCTGTGAAAACGCTTCAAGAGCGGCGGCGAGCCTCCCAGCGAGTGCCCCCCGACCGGCGACCTGTACGCGGGACACGACCACACGCGCCTGGCCGCCACGCCCGCACACGTCACGCTCAAGATAGAGAAACAGGATCAGGTCAGACACGCACACACACATATACAGAATATACCCGCGGAGAGGTCACCTGCACTGGACTGGTCACCTACGGATATACACAATTATACAGGGTGACTTGTGGATTACTATCAATATTTGAGGACGTGATATTTGACAATCATATATCACAAAATAAAAATTAATATAACATAAATATTAATAAACTTTGTTGCGGATTTTGATAGTATTTAACGAGGAGATATTAAAAAGGCGTAGATTAGTTGCAATGATAATTTTTATTTGTGTTACATATCTTATAACAGGGTAGGTAAAAAAATTAAATTACAATAAAACGAAGCGCCTTACATCTAAATCCCTCCGTAACCTTCATATGCAAAATTGCTCCATAATTTTAACAGGCGTTTGCGCCAACATACCCCCGGACGTTGAAAGATTCCCTTTCAACCAGAACTTCCATCTTCAGAAAGGTCGGGTAGTGGGCAAATTTTGCTAAATGTTTTTGTTGTGTGTGTTGTGGCGTTTGTGTTGTATCAGCACGCCGCCGCACGCGTCCACACTTGGAACGTGTCCACACTTTATTTTATTTATACGGAAATTTGGTCAAAAATTAAGTATCTATTTTTTTTTTACATAATTCGAATGAGAATCATGTACCGAGTATTCTCCTTAAATATTGATAGTAATTCACCAGTCACCCTGTATAGTCCGTTAGACTTAAGCTGAGCTTTGCATTTGTGTGAATGATAGTAAAAGTAGAGTTAGACGAAGAACTTTTAGAATTAAATTTTATTATAATTTAAATAGATACACAAGATAAGTGCTACAAAATAAGCAAAATTTGTAAAAGGCCAGATGGAAATATTATGAATATTACGGAAAAAAAAAAAAATTATTGATTAATAAAAAATTTCGAAAAAAACTATACAAATTCTTCTTCACTTGACATTTCGTTTTCTACATTCGATTTTGCTACCAGTACAAAAGTTGAAGTGAGGAAGGTGCGGGGCGGAGTAGAAGCAGTATAAACCGTTTCAAAACTAGAAAAGAGAACGTATCATTCAAATATTTGACATTACACGTACACTATCCGTGTACACTCACACAAATGCAAAGCTCAGCTTAAATCAAACTCACTCCAGTCAAATTCGATGTGGAATGTTAATAATAACAAAGCGTTGCTTAGCAACCAACGTCAGGCAGATGCTCAAAACATTTTTAGAAATATGTACAACAATTATTTCTGATGTTAATAAAAATTAAAAATTGATGATTAATAATAAAAATATTTAAAACAAAGGACTAAGCGCATTCTTGGTTATAATTATAATACTTATGATCGTCTGGAAATTCTGGAATAATGTAGATCTCAAAAATAATACCTCCATTTTTAAAAATGATATCAGAAATTAAAAAAACACTTCAAATGTTACAAACCTGCGATTTCTTTACGTCAGTATTAAAAAATATAGGGTTGTTAGTTTTGTAGTAATATTATAGTGGTAATTAAAGATTTTTTAACTTTTACTTTAAGCTAATTTTCATATAAATTATGTATTGACCGCCTAAATAATTTTTTTGGATTTTGTATTAAATTAAAATTTTTGTGTTATAATTATTAATGAATATAGTTGTAATTATAATAATATTTATTTTTTTATTAAGAGTGTATCAACCCTTATTATGATGACTCATGGTTTGATTACTAAAATTTCCACATCAAATGTGGCTGGAGTATAGAAAATATTCTTATTGATTTCACTAGTTTTATCTTAAATTAATGTATCATAATTCAATAGGAGGATGTGAAAGAGTACAAGAATTTATTCACGTCGGACGGTCTGTGTCCGACGCTAAAAGATCTCGACCAAATATTCGACAACTCGGACGACGCGGCCAGCGGCGATGAGACGGTAAGACTTGTGAGTGAACCCTTCATATATTATACTTGTAACAGCTCTGTGTGCTTTGTTATATTAAAACTAACATAATAATGTTCCTAGTCAATATTGGACATATTTTTTCTTTTTCTGAAAACTATAGATTTTTCTCATATGAGTACGAGAATTGCAACGCCAAATAACACTTACTTTGATAATGATTCCATTTCACTCTAGTTGCAGGTTCAGACCCCGCCCGACTCCAACAAGTCGAGCGAGGAGGCGCGCGGTCTGAGCGGGCGCTGCGTGCGGGCCGAAGAGCTCAGCAAGATGTTCCCCACGCCGCCCCAGCATGGAGGCGCACGCGCAGCCCTCGCCGGGGTTTCTCCCCGCCCGACGACCACACGCATCTCCACACGCACCCGCTGCGACCACACGGCTCGCCGCCGCCCGGACCCCGTCATAGAGGTGACCACTCACACCCACTCGTCTGACCCATCGAACGTTGGTTTTGTATCTTGCGTGACGCCATTAATTAAATTCCCTCTCTCGTACAGGACTGGTCGTACGTGTTTCAAGCCGCCCACGATATGCAAGTACGTGGGCTCGTCCAAGTACGCGCCGCTCACTGCGCTGCCGAGCCAGCTGCTGCCTCCCGTAGCGCTGCCCTCCACCGCCGTGTACCGTCCGCGGTGGCAGCGCGGCGAGGAAGCGAGACGACCACACGCAGGCAGGCGCACCGCTCGGACTCCGTCAGCGGCACCTGTACGTGTCGACTCCGCTCTATCGTTATTGTGTGGAGAGTGTTATGAGAATGACCGTGAACTCGTGTTCCGTCCCCAGCCGGCTCGTCCACGAACACCACCACCACCACGACGAGCGGGCGTCAAGCGGTCGTCGTCCAACACGGAGCGGGTGACATCCAGCAGCAGCAGCGTCGCGGCGGAGTCCCGGCCGTCCCCCCCGCCGGCCGCCGGGCGCGCCCGCCTGCCCGCCGCCCCCGTCCCCCCCGCGCGCCCGCCCCCGCCTGCCCGCTGCTGCTCAACGTGCTGCTCGCAGACACCGTGCTCAACGTGTTCCGAGAGACCACAACTTCGACAGCTGCACGCTCTGCGTGTGTAACGCTGGAGCGAGGGGTCAGTCCACATTACTGTTTAGTTATTTATTTATTTAGGGACAAACCAACAGAGGTTACAAAACATTAGTAATTGCATAAAAAAATGTTCTTAGACTAAGACTTAATTTGCACTTCCAATTACAGGTCATCACGGCATGCATGAATAATTGAGATACAAAAAAAAGTAAACATGATAAAGTTACAAGAAACATCAAAATTATTAATTTAGATACAAATTTGGTACACAATCAGAAAAATAATTAAAAATATACCTATATCTAAAAGTTACGAAAAAATTCTTGACAAGATAATAATATACCTACTTCAATTGAAGTTAATTGTATAAAGATTAATTTGTTCTAATTTAATTTGAGTTATATCAAGCAATAGTGGATAAATGTGTCTTTAATTTGTTTTTAAACGACCCTAGGTTGTCGTGAAATAGATCTAAGCCATTTTTATTCTTTTCGCTACATTATTGTAAATTATGCTCACCCTTGGTATTGGAGAATTTTTTCCAGCTCTTGTTTTGTATCTGAGTATTTGGAACAAGTTACAACCAAAGCGAGGGATTATTCTCGGTACCGTGAAACAAAATTTGTTCAATATTTCTGGACAGTCGATATTATTGTTGAAAAGTTTGTGCAAAAAAAACACATGTTTAGATAGGATCTTCTGTTTTCAAGCGTTTCATGTTAAAGTACTTAAGCCTTTCGCTGTAGGTATTAAACGAGTTATTCTTTGGTTTGGTTTTTTATTCGAGTTATACGAGTTATACTTAGTTATACGAGTTATTCTTTGCTTTGGTTCAAACTATGGAGCAATATTCTAACTTGCTGCTACTATTACTGTACTCGTCTTTCGAAATTCTTTGCTACAGCTTTACTACACTTTCTTAACTACTGTTTATAACAAAATAGATCGCGTGACAAGTTTATACAATTGAATGTTTTCTCTAATATGTCGTATTGTACACTTCAGACGGTGGGTAACATCCGCGGCGCGGACGCGGCCACGTACCTCCCCGGCGGCGACTGGGGCGGCGGACCTGATGACGAGCCCTCGCGCTGCTCCTGCGGGTTCAGTGCTATCGTGAACCGACGCCTGGCGCACAGGGCGGGGCTGTTTCTATGAGGTGAACTATGACAAATGGACATTATGGGAATATAATATATACAGTCAATCTGGGTAACTTTGACAGATAAGGGTGATATTTTATTACTATATTTAAAAAAATTTAACCTATCACTCGAGTGTTTTTATTTTATGTTGTTGACGGAAAAGTAATATGATCTCGTATTACTTTCGGGTCTCTAGACATTCACAGAACGTTTTTAAAAAAAAACATACCAATATATGAAGTATAAAATCTCAATTCTGTGTGTGTCAAAGTTACCCTCATAAGATGGGTAACTGTAAAATACACAGAGCCATGCATAAAAAAATTAGTAATAAGTATTATTGTCATCAATCTGGGTAAAATTGGTGTATATATTTATTAACTAATGGATGCATGTGTTTTGCAGTTTTGTCTTATATTAAAAAAAAATATGAAGAATCAGTCTCTACAACATTTGCCAATGTAATACACATTTTTTTTTAACACCATCACAAACGCTTAAAAAACTCCTTTAATTTAACATTTTTATTCAAATTAAAAAGAAAACCAGTAAAAATAATTAAAAACAAACAAACATTTTTTGTAAAATCTTGAGCATAAATTGTCTATTCTCCCCCACTCCATAAAGAGCAAATCATCATTAAATTGTGTAGAACCCAGGCTGTTTTATACTGATTTTACTGTTATATACTGTAGATACAACATCATCATGTTTAATTTTTAATAATTTCTCCTTTATCTGGCCATTTCCAACCACCTTTGTGTTGATCTACTCATGACAACAAACTGTATATAATACGGGGATGTGAAAACTTGTCACTTTTCCTGGAAAACAGTGTGCCTTTTGTTTTAAATATAACTGTTATTCCAGGTGAGAGAAACTCAACATATTTTGATGTGCACGTTGCAAAAACTCCATCTTTAACAACATATTCTTCAATCACCTCTTCTACCACCTCTTCCTCCACCATTTCAGTTTCTGTTCAAAATACGTATCTTCATATCTATGCATGAAATTTCAAAATAAGACGTAATTATATGCAAAATTTTTTCATGAAAATGTGGTAGTAAAATCACAAATGGCTCTGTATGACTTCTCACTTACCTAATCAGCAACCAAAATCACAAAATATTCAAAAAGTTATTCACCCTAAAATAAAAAATGTTTTTGACTTTTTTTTTACTTTCACAACTTACTTTTTTTAAGGTGCGTTTAGGAAACTTGTTTAAAATCGCAAATCTCAAATAAACATATATGAATAGTGTTGGTTTCATTCGAAAAAAATAATCGAAAAAACTAGTTCATGGTCCCGCTGTCAAAGTTACCTGATGAATCAAAGTTTGCCCAGATTGACTGTATTGTTGATTGTTAAAAATTAAAATTTACTAGTATTTTATGCGCACAGCAAAAGAATTTAATACATAATTTGAATGTGTCTGTGTTTCCTTCGAATAATAATTTAGGCGTCTCCAAAGAGAGGCTGTATATGCTGTACTTGGATATTTCCTTCACTTGCTTTTACTACACCTTCCACCTTCTCACGGGAGAATGACTGTCAATCACTATCCAGTGTTAAGGTATACAAAACATGATTCATAATACAGGACGAGATGGAGATCACGGGCATAGCGGAGGAGCCGGGCGGCGGCAGCGGCGGCGGGCTGGCGGGGACGTGGGCGGGGCTGGTGGTGGCCGCGTGCGCCGCGCCCGCCGGGGGAGCCGCCTCCGCGCTCACACGGGCCGCCAGGGGAGCCGCCGCGCCGCCGCTGGCCGACCACCTACGACTCAACCTGCTAGAGTTAGTATATAGACGGAATACAAAATAGAAGAGAAATTCTTTGACCATACATTTCGGTTCAAAATTGTAAATAAAGATATAGACAGCCCGCGATTACTTTCAAAACTATACTTTAATGCACCACTTGGACTCCCAAGAAGGCTCCTGTATACTCCATTCAATAGAAAAAACATGCAAAAAGTAATCTCGCTCATTATTCACCTTTGAATAGAATGACATTAAAGTTTAACTCGCTTTTTAAAAATACTAATATTGATATATTCTGGGGAAAGGGCGTCTTTGATCTTGATTTAAAAAAAAAAAAAAAAAACAAATAAAAAAATGTTTTAATTAATTAAGCTTAGATTTTTACTTTCTAGTTGTTTGTACTTCATGCACTATATTTAAACTAAAATATATTTGAACCAAAATGTTAACTTTGTTCATGCACTCTGTTTACTATTTCAGCATGAAGTGGTTGTCTGTAACTGAGGTAGCACATAGCATCTTAATTGTATTAATTTTAAATTTTTGTATTTGTGTATACTTTGTTGGGGATCAATAAATAAATAAATAAATATATAGTTGGCGTACATAAACTTCTCTCCTTATTTACAATTAGAAGACTTCTTCAATTTTCTCAAGCATCAATTTTTAATCAATTAATCACAGGACGGCTTCATTTTTCAAATATAAGTTTCGAGTCGATCAATATTTAACCTAAATGTGTGTTATTCCAGGTACTCAGACGGCGGGGCGGCGGCGGCCCGCGCGCTCCGTGCGGCGGCCGGTAGCTCCGGCTCGTCCCTGCCGACCCCCAACATCGCCACCGGTGCTAACAGCGCCGTCCACCGCTGGCCGTTCATCGGGGCGCGCGCTCCGCGGTCCTCCAGGGGACGTTGTCAGGTAACATATCACTTTTTAATAACAATCTGGCAGACCCTGGCTAAAACTGGGAAATTGCCAGGAAGAAGAAGAATAACAATAGTTATAGCTTACTTATTCCCTCGAACTAATCTTTGGTTGTTATTACATATGCGTAGATATATTTTTTGTAACGTATCCCTATCAAAATATCAAAATATCCGCTGCAATTATATTCGTGAAAGCGTGTGAAAAAAGTAACAGAACTACAAATAATGAGAGCTAAGACTTTCGCGAGTATTCATTTGTATGAAACTAATATTTTTCGGAATACTACGCTTAATTTATTATTTATAAAAAAACTATACACTTCCGACGTTTCTTTTGTTGCAATAATAATATTTTCATTTAAAAAATACGAATATAAAAGAATATAAGCGTATGTCATACAATACACCACATACAATTACATTTTTCCTATCTTTTAAAAATCCAAAAAAACTGATTTGCATCGGAATATCGTAGGAAATGTTGACATTGTGTTCCCTTTTCTGCTTGGAATTTCAAAAAATCTGAAAAATTTTACAATATATTTAAAGATTAAAGTTTTAAAAATAAATATCTAATTAAAGTCTACTTAAAATTGCGGCGTCTACGAAATGTATTACCATTTCCTACAAAAAACTATGCTAGCAAACTCCCTTCTTCTATCAATTCTCGATTACGCGGACGAAAGCTATCTTAATTTAACCGAGAACCACCTTAATAAACTTGAGCGATTACAAAATCCAGCTATTCGGTTTATTTTCGGTTCCGGAATTATGACCATGTTTCAGAATTTCGTTCAAAAGCTCAAGTGACTTCCTATACGCCGTCGCCGAAAACTCTTCTGTACTGTGTGTTGTTTAGTCCGACAGCTCCTTGTTACTTGAAGGAGAAATTGCAATTTCTTGGAGATCAGTCAAGCATACGATCATCACGAATCCTCATCCTAAAAAAACTGCCCTATCTATAGCAGTAAATATTATAAGCAGTCATTCACTGTGCAGGCAATAACACTTTGGAACGATTTACCACTATCCATTAGACAATCTAAATCGTTACAAATATTTAAAAATTCCCTAAAGAGATTTTATTTGGATACTAATAATGATGACATTTTAAGATACACTTTTTAATATCTTCTTATAATATTTATCATATTTCTATTGTATAATTATTTATATTATTTTTTATTTATCTATTAAATATATACACATATGTACCTTTACTTTTAATGTAATATTTCTTTTTTTACATCTATTAAGATATGATATATATATATATATATATATATACAGGGTGACTGGTGAATTACTATCGATATTTGAGGACGTGATATTTGACGATCATATATGACAAAATAAAAATTAATATAACATAAATATTAATAAACTTCTAAGTAAAGTTAACCAAAAGTTGTGTAATTAATTACGCATCGGTATACACACACACTCACACATACGCGGCGGGGGGCGTGGTTTTGTATCAGCACGCCGCCGCACGCGTCCACACTTGGAAACACTTGGAACGTATCAACACTTTATTTATTTATACGGAAATTTTGTCAAAAATTAAGTACCTATTTTTTTTACATAATTCGAATGAGAATCATGTACCGAGTATGCTCCTTAAATATTGATAGTAATTCACCAGTCACCCTGTATATATAAAAATATATATATGTATATATTATTTATTATTATTATTTGTATTTACTATATTTATTGGGTTATATTTATTATTATTTTATAATGTAAGTTTATTATTGTACCACCATATTGTCGTCTTCCGCATACATTATTCTTTTAACCCAAAGGTCGTCTGGAAGACATGGCTTATATGCCATAAGAACGCCTTTTGCTCCACCAATTTTTTTTTTGTTAAAGAATATATTTTTATTTTTATGTATATTTGGTGTGCAATAAAGAGTGAAATAAATAATAATATAGTGTAGTGGTATTCTCGTCTCCAAATAAATGTCTCTTCTCTTTGCATTTCATATTTTATCACTTATATAAATTATGAAATTTATTTTAGTGGCCTTAATTCCTTTATAGACATTAGTTAAACATTTTAAAGTAAATAAAACCTCTTTATAATATTGCGTTATAAACGAGTACTAACTTTAAAAGGCATATCGTAAGTGTTCGTATCGTAATGTTTCAGACTGATGCGTCGCCTGCGGCCGCTGCTGCAGGACGCCATCCAGAAGCGTTGCTGCGGCGCGCGCATGTGGGACGGCGTGTCGGGCCCGCTGACGTGGCGCCAGTTCCACCGGCTGGCCGGGGCGCGCGGGAACGAGGACCTGTGCGAGCCGCAGCCCGTGCCGCCGCTGCTGGTGGGCCACGACCGGGACTGGGTCTCGCTGTCGCCCTACGCGCTGCGCCACTGGGAGCGCTTGTCGCTGGAGCCCTACTCGTACGCCCGGGACGTGGCCTACGTGGTGCTGGCGGCGGACGGCGACGCGCTGTCCGAGCCGCTCAAGACCTTCTTCAGGGAAGTGTCGGCGTGTTACGAGGCCTGTCGGCTCGGCAGACATCAACCGATCACCAGGATAGCCAGGGACGGGATCGTGCGGACCGCGCCCGGCGACGGAGACCGGTGCGTACATACGACTCTGTCATTGCTATTTGTGTTACTTTAAAAAAATATTGTTATATATGTAATTCTGTACAAGTGTCTTCTTTTACAGTAAAACATTAAATGTATAACTCTGAGCAGTGACATTAACATTTAATATTTTAATCCTTTTACATTCTTTAACCTATTTTTCCACAGAGATACGAATTATGAAGAATGGACGGGCGAGTTACCACCAGGAAGATTAGGAGAATATATGAGGTCGTACGCTGAAACCTTACGGAGCAATCTAGTTCCACAACTTGCCGCGCTGAACGTTGACCGGACATTATTTTGAGAGTGAGTAATAGGATAATACGTTATTAAAACAGAGAAAATGACTCAAGTAGAACTTATTGCTCTTAATATATAGTTGTGTTGAAACTACGCTGCGGATTGTTAATATTTATTCATCACCATAATTTTATTCATCACTATTTAAACAAGCACGAGCTCTATCAAGTCTTTGTCACCAAAATACATTTGGTTTATAGTATCGATATTTTTATTATTTTTTTTGGCAAACAAACAGTATTAAACAATCAATCAAAGCAATACATACAAAAATACACAAACCAAAAAGCTTCCACCGATTACAATTTCTTTTGGAGCAAAATAATAATATGATCAATGAGAGTTGAGAAAATCATTAAAAAAAACATGAGATAAATAAATTAATAAAATAATAATTTTAAAATAAATTAATAACAATTTACAGGCATTACTGATTTCTTTCCTTATATTATTTTTTGTACACATTGTTAAATCTATATTGGAAAAATATTTATTATATTTATCACAGGCACGGAAAATAAAAGTATTTTGAGCATATTTGGTATTTGTGATAGGTAGATGAAAAAGGGACTGATGACGTGTATTAATTTTAGGACATCTAAAGCATATATTTTGTAACAGATAGGGTGAATTTACAAAAATTTGAAGTATCTTAAATAAAAACAATTGATATCTCGCCATGCGACGGAATTCTAAAAACGGAATGTGTGAAATATCCTGATTATGCGGCAAAAACTTATAACTAGAATGTTTAATAAATTTGCGTTGAATTTTCTCTAATTGCAAATATGGCATTAATAAAAGGGATAACATAGGGGAATTATAACATATTACCTCTCTAAACAGACAACAAACACGGGCTCAATGCGACCGCCCGCTGCCCCGGAACGGCCGGGAACGCCGAGTAGTACCGGAGAACACGACGCGGAGCCCGGGCCCGGAGCTGGAGCGGGCGGGCCGAGCGGGCCTGGGGGGCCGGCCGCCTGGGAGGAGGACGAGGCCGGCCCACCCGCGCTCGTCATATACGTGGTGGAGCCGCCCGCCGCGCACGCGCACCGCCCGCGGGCACTGGCCGCCCTGCTGAGACTAGCGTCGCAGGTCGCCAACCATCTACATCACCACAACCCACTCGTCAAGGTACACGACGAATATATTCAATGTTTATTACAAGAATACTTAGCTAAAAATATACATCATGTTTATAATTAGTAAATAGAGTTTGAAAGAAATATAAACACACAGTATCACGATATTATATAAACTTAGGTATAAAACAATCTCAAGTATAAAATAAAATATAGAATAGCTGTGAATTAATGATAAACGTTGCAGATAATATCTCTGGACGGCGTGTGTGAGTGGTGGGGCGCGCGCGGCGGCTGGGCGGCCGAGGCACGCGCGCTGGCCTTCAGTGTGTTCGGCGGAGCGAGGAGACTCATGCAGCACTCGCCCGCCGGGAAGAGTCTCACTGGCTTCGGCACGGCCGCCACAGCTAACTTGTTCATCAACAACAAGGATGTTAGTACATACTAGTGTTAACACACTACTTTGTTCTATTGTAAAAAGATTTCCGAGCTGTGACGTTTTGGAAATTAGAAACAAAATAATTTTGCACCTATATTATTAGTATATATGAAATTTTTCATAAAATATGTGGTGAAGAAACAAATCACGTATTAAAAATTATCTAAGAGAAAAGTACAATTATACTGTAATTTGTTCTCAGTTTCATTATTTATTGTCATAAAACGTCCAAATAGACCAGTGCCGATAGCTTTTAAAACATAATTAAATTATATGTAGTAGAATGAAACTCATGAGAAAAGGAGGGGAATATTATAAAAATTAAAGGAAAAGTAATAAAAGTCGGGAAGGATATAGGGAGGGTATTTAAGGGTAATAATGGGTTTTCTCGATTTCCTACAAAACTAAAAGTCCTACGGAAAAAAGTTATATGGCAAAGTTGTAAAGTTGTAGGTAATAAAAAAATCGAAAACTTTTGTATTTACATTTTTTTCACACAACCTCAAAATTTGTAAAAAAATCGAAAAATCATGTTTTTGGTTTTTTATTTTTATCTCTTACAAAAAACAATATTTTGTCACGAAATTTGGTGAAAACTTATATTTTGATGTCCCAAATACACTGTAATTTATTTGATTAGAAATATTTATTTTTCCAGCTTATGTTTTAGTTTTAGCAGCTTTATGTCAATTTTCTGTAAATTACCTAAAAGAGGGACTATCTAGCGAACTTCCAGAGTACACAGCTATTAAAATAAATTTAGAAAGAGTCATTCCATTAAAAGAGACATGATTATTTTATCCAAAAATGGTACTGCAAGTAAGGAACTTATACTTTTTTCTTCACCATCGGAAAATAGAGATTTCAACAAATAGAAAACATACAATTTTTTTAAAATAGCCTATATTTTGACGGGTGATTTTTCGATTGAAAATGAGGCTGATTTATTGATATTTATTCAAAATAAGCTGAAAAAATAAATATTTGTAATCAAATAAATTACAGTGCATTTTTAACACCACAAGGAAAGTTTTCACCAATTTTCGTGACAAAAAAAATTGTTTTTGGAAGAGATAAAAATATAAAAAACTAGGTTTTTTTGAAGTTTTCACATAAATTTTGAGGTTATGGGGAAAAAATGTAAATACAAAAGTTTCTGACCTTTATATTACCTACAACTTTGCCATATAACTTTTTTCCGTAGGACTTTTAGTTTTGCTGGAAATCGAGAAAACCCATTTATTACCCTTAAATACCCATCCCCATACGCTTCCCGACCTCAGATCGCTCGTAAATTACTTTTCCTTTAATTTTTATAATATTTCGCTCCTTATCTCATGAGTTTCATTCTAGTAGAATGTTTAGTTTATTTTCACTTTTCATTAATTTTAAAATATCTGTACTGGCCTATTATAGGTTATGGCAACTTATAGAAGATAATTTAGATTGTTCTCGGTCATGTCGCAGAAAACAGACATGTGTATACCACATGTGTATTACCAGCTATGAAAATGAATGCTATGTATTTTGTTTATATTGGTTTTGTTTTGTTGTAACAGGAGAAGAACCGTGCGCCCTACAAGCTGTTCTCCCCGGCGTGGGTGCTGTCTCCCCCGCGCGCGCTGAAGGAGGTGGCGGAGACGTGGGGCACGGCGTGCGGCGAGCAGTCTAGCGTGCTGTTCGTGGCCTACTGCCTGTCGCACGACCAGCGCTGGCTGCTGGCCGCCGCCACGGACGGGCGCGGGGAGCTGCTCGACACCGCCGCCATCAACATACACGTGCCCGCCAGGTACGACGCACACACTCACACAAACAAACAAAGACTGTACAGTGTTTAGTTAGTTATATACTGAAAAATTACTGAAATTTTTTTCTCTATGTTCCTCTATCAGCCATACATCTGTATTCACATTAATATAAATTCTTGTTCGTCCTCTAAATTCTATATAAATGTCCCCTCACGAGTCACGTCACTCGCCTCTCTTCTCATAACCCTAATATCTGTCTGCTTGAACTATAAATTTTTTAATACACTGCACAATAATAAAAAATATTATCAAATACATGTGTAGTGTAATAAGTAATTTTTGACCTGACAATGACAGCATATCCGAATACATTTCTATAGAGTCAATGATACCTTTAATGCTGTTTTCAAATCGAACTTCATTTTTAGTTCAGGATTCGAACACGTTTCGCTAGAATCACTGTCTCATATGACATTTAGGCTTAGAACATAAATTTATAATTTGTAAGTAGTATGACTTTATTTCATCGCTTATTGAAGGTATGAATGTAAGAGACTTAGGCTTTATTTCCTTAGAAGCATTACATTGGATTATATTAGAACTTTTCTCAAATAATTTCTCAGTTTCCGCTAACTTATTTTTTATAACATTACCTTGATATCTTAGCTTTCCCTTCTTAATTAAATATTTTCTTATCAATTTAAGTTAATCTAAATATTTAACTAATTCATGTTCCATTCCCTTTTGACAACATATTAATAAAAGAAATACATACCAAATATATTAACTCACTTACGAGTAGTTACCATGGTAGGGGCTACGACCTGATACATTGCGATATGAAACTCTTTGTGTACATAATACATACCCAACCGATTAAATAATATTAATAATAAATGTATCCTACATTTTATTTTACTAGATTCTACACTAATTCATTATAAAAAAAAAACTAAAGTTTATAAATAGTCATTTTAACAGTTCAAAGTTTAATTCTGAAATTTTATTGGATCACTTTACAAAACTCTCACGCACTTTTTATTAATATTAAATATAAACATTTGTTTTTCACGCACTTCGTAATTCTAAAGCCGTCACTTCTCTACTGGTTGGGTATGTCTCTTTGGCGGGTGAATGACCGTCTTAGGTTATTTTGTGTGATCTCATTCGATATCCAATTTATTTATTTGTTTTATCGGCACATGGTTAGATTTTTTTTTTTTAGTAAAACAGTAACGAAGAATAAACTTAAATTGCTACATATTGCTTTATTTCCAACTTTAATCCAATTCTTCAACTCATAGTCCGATTTTGGAGCTGCAACACTATACTGCGATCAAATTCGCGTTTCGCGCCCAAAATATGGCAAGGGTCGCCATGAGGAGACTTATGTTTTTGAAACGAGTGTGTTTGGTAGAAGATGATTTATTACTGAATTATTAACACAACGATCTTAATATTTATACATCTGACTTACATACTACTTATTACACTACACATGTATCATAGAAAAGTTGAAGCATATCCATGATCTGTGTAATATATTACTGTTATCATTGTCACAAAATTCATAGCTCTTGTAAATAGATTAGATTGATTATTTTTATACATTAAATAAAGTGTTGTCTATAATTTTCTTGTTCGTATTTTAAAAACTTAACTCCTACCATTATTTGAGGTCTTAGTTGTTTTTAACGTTTTCTTTTTGAAGTGATGTTAAAAGTTAATTGTTCCAACCCTAATTTCTGAATCGGTTTGTTAATATTTTGTTGTTGTTTATTAATCACAGATCAAGAAGGAAGCGAGGCGGTCCGGCGAGGAGGCTGGGCCTCACTAAACTCATGGATTTCACGTTGGGAGTAATGTCACAGTCCGCTCAGCCGTGGAGACTGGTCGTTGGACGCGTCGGGAGGATCGGCCACGGAGAACTTAAAGGTTTGACCTCAGAAAGAAATAGATGGATCTGAATAATGATGCCAGTCACTTTATAAATGTTATACGTAATAATCTTATATACTTTCTAAATTTTCCGTAACTGTCTCACTCATTTCATTAAATGAAAGGGCAAACAAGGGCCATAGAACTAGGGATTGACATTTCAATCTCTAGTTCTATGGCCCTAGTATAAGTATTTTAAGCCTTCTTATTTTAATTACTTACTTATAGGATCATGTTTATATATTCTAATGGTAGTGTTGTTTCTATCCCATGTAGGTTGGAGCTGGTTGTTGTCGCGGCCCAACCTGAACCGCGCGTCCAACCTGCTCCGTGAGATGTGCGGCAGCTGCTCCCTGCTGTACCCCACGGGCGCGCCCTGCATCCTGTCCGCCTGCCTCGTGTCCACGGAGCCCGACTCGTGCCTCCGCCTCATGGCCGACCGCTTCACGCCCGACGAGCGCTTCTCACAGGCCTCCATACAGTCGCACCTCCACACGCCCAGGGACGTCACCGCCACGCACATACTCGTCTTCCCCACCTCCGCCACCACACAGGTATTATTATATCATTAACTAGAGAAGATATCGTCATTCAACGAGGAAGAAGTTTAAAAACAAAGATAACACGTAGACTCGTACTGAAAATGCCTGCTCATAACAGCAAATTTTACAGCCAGTCGTTCACTGTTCAGGCTATAACTCTTTGGAACGACTTACCATTGAGCATTCGAGTGTCGAACACCTTACATGCTTTTAAAAACTCCGTAAAGAAGTTATTTCTCGTATCACAGTAATGATGAAGACATGATTATGACAAATATTTAATTACGTCATATATGTATGTATTTATGTATTTATTGATATATGTATGTATATTTTGCTGTTATTTTAAAAATATTTAATATTGCACCACCCTACACTGTCTTCCAAACGCAATCCTCTAACCCTAGGTAGTCTGGAAAAAATGGCTAATAAGCCATAAGGCCGCCTTTTGTTTTATCATTAGTTTTTAGTATGTATTTTTCTGTAATTGTTTGTGTTGTAATTGTGGTGTACAAAAAAGAGTTAAATAAAATAACTTTAATAAAATGTTTGCAGTCGAATCAAATGCCGTTCGAGCCGCCGAATGCGAACGGAGAGGAAAACGACATGCTGCTGGGACTGGAGATGGTGGACGAGGACATGGGCGAGGACAACATGACGGACCTGCTCATAGGAGACATGTTCATGTGGCCGGCCGGCAGCCCGCGGGCCTCGCCGCGCAGGCACGACGACGAGGCCAGCCGCGAGGGGAGCCCCGCGCGACACGCGCACCTCAACAACACGGGCGCATACACCAGGGACGACGACCACCACCCGGTAACACAAGCGCTACATCCACGATCAGCCCACTCACGACTCACTCACTCACTCACTGAATGCTCACATTGTATGTTATGACTTCCAGGAGCAAGTGGGGACAGTCCTCCAACAGCCGCTGGCCCTCGGCTACCTGGTGTCCACAGCCCCGCTGGGCGCCATGCCCGGTTGGTGGTGGGCCAGCTGCTGGCACCTCCGCGACGCGTGTCCCGCCTTCCTCAAGAACGCGCTCCACCTGCAGTGCGCCGTGACCGCCCACGACGACTACACGTCGCTCACACAGCGCCGCGACCACAACGCGCACCCGCTGGACTCCACCACCACCACGGACGTGCTGAGGTATGACCGTCTACATGTGTCCATAGTGTATAGTGTAGTGAGTGAACAGACTGTATGTAACTGTTGATTGTGTCCAGGTATGTGCTGGAGGGGTACAACGCCCTCTCCTGGCTGTCGCTGGACGGGTCCACTCACGACCGCTTGTCGTGCCTGCCGCTACACGTGCAGGTCCTCATGCGGCTCTACCACACGGCCGCCGCGCTCGGATAGACACACCCACCAGTGATTTGTTAAAGTTTTACTCTTGTTTGTGACATTTACGGTCTGTTACCGCTACGGATGTATGTTGTTAAATTGAGTCATAGAGGCCACGTTGCGAGCTAACTAAATGTATTTAATTAATGTGAACCAATGATATTTTACTTTAAACTCTTATCTCACATCAGAGCCACAATGAATCAATGAAATATTTTTATTTAAGAAATACACTAAAAACAGCCTCGTACCATCTTCCATAGATTCATAATATTATTATGTTAACTTCTCTGTATATTAACATTAAGTGTACATATATTAATACTCGCTTCCAACATCGCCTCTATGACTGTTAAATAATGTTAAATGATTTTTGTTAAACATTTATAAATCCATTTTCTTACCTGAAGAGAGAGTATTACCGTCTCGAGGACGACGGGTCCCTCGTAGTGACACTAAAAACTTAAAATGAATTTTGTAAAGAATTTTATATATTAGAAGTTTTTATTTTAATGGCGGTTTATGTGGAGTGTTGTATAAGAGACGCGACCGCTCACCGCTCGCTTATAGACCACTACATGTAAAAAATTCCAAAGAATAAGCAATTCTTAGATGAAATTTTTGGTAAATTAATTATATGGCTCGTTAGTAGGTCGGCGAGGGTCGGGGGCTGGATCTTGAGTAGTTGTATAGTGAGTGGTAACACAGTTGTTAAGACTCTTTTGTTATAAATGATTTGTGAGAGGTGAACATGAGGAAAGTTGTTAACAGTGTCTGTGTCGAGGCAATACTATTTAATTTATTCCGTGTGGTGGCCGGCGTCATTTTATAACTAATGAAACAGTTTTCCAGAGCGAAGTTACCACAACCTCGTGTGTATGTCGAGTCGTTACATGAGCTATACTTTTAATTATGTAATAAGGTTAGACTAGCCGGGAGTATATGTATAGTGATGAATACTAACTAAAGGTCCAAGTCTTAATACGAGCGCGGTCCGCCGGTCCGTGAGTCCGCTGGTCCCGGGGTCCGCGTGTGGCCGCGGGTCGTTGTCAGTGACATTTCATTTTCACGTTCCCGTTCTTCCATCGCCGTCTTTCAATACAAATCATTCTTCCGTGATCTCACACTCCATTGTAGGACCTCATTTTCTCTAGAGTAGCGTCCCTCGAGTATTTCTTGAGTTATTTGTTTATCGGTGACGAGTGTAAATCATTTTTAGGTATCTTCTATTGAGCCGAACATATTTTGTAATGTTTTATGTGTTTTGTAATCCTGTGTACATTTCTCCTGTACGAGTTTCCGTATCTGGAGATCTACGTCTTTTTGATATTAAATGAAGTCTTTAATCAATAGTCCTTATAGTATATTACGTATACCGTACGTCCACCGCTCGTGACGTCACTCCACGTCACCTCACCTCATGACCGTCACCAGTAGTGTATCACGACAGTCCTCGCGTGATGTTGTTGTGCCCGTGTTAAGTGATATATGTTTTGTTTTTTAAACCGGTATCGATTACCAAAGCAGTTAGCTATTCGCATAGTACTTTAGATATTGTTTTTATCGACCCGTCTCTGAATGTTTCCATCGCCAGGGTCACTCTGACGTCTCTTCTATTGTAAAACGTTCGTCGTCTCAGTTTTAATTTAATATTTTTTATATGTATATATTTATTTTGGAACGACATGTCTTTGATTGTATATGATGATTATAACATATTTTTAACTTTATTAAGAGATCATGTAGCTTTATATTTAAAGGCAAATATACAGTAGACGAATTGACCATTACGACTCGTAGACCTCTTCATCCGCACCGTTACATATGTAACCAGGGATCAAAGTTCACTGGACAGTGAAGTGTGTAGTGCAAGGTTTACTTAGGTAATTTATTGTTAAGAGAACTGGCCAGAGTCTGTACAGAGGGGGAGGGAAGTGTAGGGGATTCTAAATACAATGTTTTCTTATGATAACGGAACCTCCAAACGGTAATTAATAGTGACACCAATAGTTTACGGTTAGTTGAATAGTGTTAAAGAGAGCCCCATAGAGGATGTTTGAACCTAGCATTTGTATAAGTAGATGTCATTTTATATAAAAAATAATAATAATAAATAAATAATAATAATATATGGAATCCATTGCATTTTTACCCTGCAGTGTCGCTCGGTCGAATCTCTAGCTGAAATTTTCTATTTTAATATAGTGGAGTAAAGCTAAGTAATAGACAGGTGTCATAAATATATGTAAGGGGATGTGGAGAACAACGTGTGATGTTGACGGGGGGGGCTCGGCTGTTGTAGTGTGTGTTTGTGTATCATTTGTTATACAGGAATATATATGTATGTATGTATCGAACAATAGCAACACAAAGATTAACAAAATTGTTTGTAACCAATGACCTGATTAAGTTTAACAGTGTGAGGTGTGATGTAGCCGGAGTACACCTGGTGACTTGGTGTACCTCCGATACTCGAGTTATTATTATATTAGACGCTCCTGTCCTCAAATTAACTGACTTATGGCTAGTTGAACATGAAATGCTTTAAATGTGTTACTGCATTTGAGAATATTTAATGATGTTGTATATAGATTATATTTTGTTTTGAGAAACATTTTGTATATAGAAGTGAAGGTGATCGGAGTAGAGTTCATTATGTGGCCATGCAGCCGATGTACAATGGATCACACGTTTTAAAGAAACCACTCTTAATATTATGTACAGTTGTTGAGAGAGTCGTAGTTGAATGAATTACTTGTAAGATTATGTTTTTGACCTTTTTTTTGTTATTTGTGAATTTGTCAATTTTTTTTAGGGAATTGGGATCGTACTGTATATAGACGTCACCGTTTTGTCATATATTAGTTTGTAAGATGACAAATCTGATGATTGAAATGGAAATCAAATTTTCTTAACGGAGCAATCGTTAGAATTTCGTAAACAAAAGTTAGTGTAATACTTGATATTAATATAACTTTATAAATAACTGTGAAAATAGTTAATAATAATTATGAATAAAATATTACATATTTATTATATAATTTTATTCGAACTCCTTTGCCTTTTATTGAATATATAGATTTATATCATTTTTATCCCTCTTGTCACTAAAAAAGTAATTCGACATAGTATACAAGACACCTCGTTGCAATTGATCCTGATGAGACACCAGAACCTTTCACATATCTATTATAAACATTTTAGTCCTAAACATAATGTTGAGTAATATTACTCACATACCTAAGATTATGTTTCGTCTCCTAATTAGAAAGAAACTACATACTTCATTTAAAAAGTGATATTAATCTGCCGTCTATACAAAAACTGTTCCCATTTCTAGATCTGCTTACAAAAATGTAAATAGGATAGATCTTTGATTCTTTAATTGAATAATACTATTTTTGGAAATTATTATTTCAAAAAATAATATTGTGTCATATTAGAAATGGGTCTCAATTTTTTATATCCAAACAAGTAATTTCCAGGAATTGACACCAAGCGACCAGTCGCTTGGTGTCAACTAGAAATCAAAGCAAAACTATATAAGCCAGTGCAGAAGCCTTTAAAATTAGTGAAATTCAAAATAAATTATAGTAGAATGAAACTCATTAGAAAAGGAGGATAATATAAAAATAAAAGGAATAATAATTTAAGGGTAATAAATGGGTTTTCTCCATTTCCGGCATTACTAAAAGTCCTACAGAAAAAAGTTATATGGCAAAATTGTAGGTAATAAAAAGATCTAAAACTTTTTAGCTTATTTTTAATAGTTGTATACTCTGGATGTTCTCCAGATAGTTCCTCTTTTGGGTAATTTACAGAAAATTGACATTAAGCTGCTAAAACTATCTGAACTAATATTATAAAGAGGTAATATTTTTTGTTTGTTTGTTTGTTACAAATAGGCTCAAAAACTACTGCACCGATTTTAAAAATTCTTTCACCATTATGATTGTACATCTTTCCAAAGTAACATAGGCTATATTTTATTTTGAAAAAATTAGGGATCCTTTCGAAAACTTCGATAACATAAACCACTATTGATGATGGAGCAAAATAATGTACTACGATTTTGTTGACCGCATTATTATCTACAGAAAAGTCCGCGGTAGTGTATATCTAAGTATTATAGTTACGCCAATATAAAAACTTTTATAGTTTAACAAACTATTTAAATCGGAAACGAAAATAAGATGTCGATATTCATACCACGGTATTTATACTAATCTAAATAACTTACTTTTTATTTAACAGTAGTTCAATACCTTTCTATTACTGTTTAAATTATTTTAATCGGATACTCCATTCAAAAGATATAGCGAGTTTAAAAATTTGGGTAACTTAAAAATTAACTAAGCGTTTCACTGCATCGCGTCGCGATGTTGATTGTGCGTAGTGATAAATAACTCCGAAAACAAAACCAACTCTCTCTCTGCGCTGGCCGGCGCGGCGGGAGAGAGGCGGTGCTTGCGGGCAAGCCGGGAGGGTGGTGTAGCTCCGCGAGATACCATGCCGCGCGGCTTATTCCCGCGGTTGGCTCCATACTGAACAGTTGAATGCAGCGCTAATTTGTTTATGCGATATAATTATCATCGTAATATTACTTTTTAAACACAGTTTCATTTTGTAGTTGTTTTCTATATAGTAGGTACTTTATTTGTTTTACGATAGTACTTAGTTTCACAATAATAACACTTTTTTTAGTATATGCAGAAGTTCTTTAAAATAATTAAATTCACTGTAAAAATTGTACAGATATAGTTTGGAACTCGAAAAAAAAACATAGGTTTTATCCTGAAAATCGACCATTCCGAAAATCCCGCAAGAACGGGAACTATGTGGGAAAAACCAAAAATCTGCCGGAAATCACTATTCCACGCGGACGAAGTCGCGGGCAAAAGCTAGTTAAAAATAAATTGAAAGAGCATTTTTCAAACGATATCAAGTGTCATTTCATTAAAAGAGACATTATTATTTTATCCAAAAATGGTACTGCAAGTAAGAAACTTATATTTTTTTCTTCAAAATCGGGAAATAGAGATTTCAACGAACAGAAAACATACAACAGTTTTGAAAAAAAGCTGATATTTTGACGGGTGATTTTTCGATTGAAAATGAGGCTGATTTTTTGATATTTATTCAAAATAAGCTGAAAAAATAAATATTTCTAATCAAATAAATTACAGTGTATTTGAGACATCAAAAGGTAAGTTTTCACCAAATTGCGTGACAAAATATTGTTTTTTGTAAGAGATAAAAATTAAAAAAAACTTAGTTTTTCGAATGTTTCACATAAAATTTGAGGTTATGTGAAAAAAATGTTAGCACCAAAGTTTTAGATCTTTTTATAACCTACAACTTTGCCGTATAACTTTTTTCCGTAGGACTTTCAGTTTTGTCGGAAATCGAGAAAACACATTTTTTACTCTTAAATACCCATCCCCATCCCGACCTCAGATCGCCTGTAAATTATTTTTCCTTTAATTTTATAATATTCCCCTCCTTTTCTAATGAGTTTCATTCTACTATAATTTAATTATGTTTTAAAAGCTGTCAGCACTGGTCTAATAATGCTGTTTTATTTACAATATTTGTTTTTATCTTATCTGAAGAGAAGTATGAAGGTCCCTTTTAGAATTATTTTTAAATTAAACTTGCCAATTTAGGAAGGTGATTTATGTCTGAAGATAGAACAGTGTGTTTCATTTAATATACGGTTATAAATAAATTAGGCAGTATTCCACTTAGATGTACTTCACAACTCGTAACAGAATCCCCAGTCTAACACTTGTATCCTATTTATAGCATTCAAAGGTAACATTCAGACAAGGGCGTAGCTATCGCCGTATTTGCCGTATCAATTATACGGGGCCCCCGGGCCACTTTGGCACTGGGGCACTTTGGGGGCCCGGGCCCCCAAAGTGTGTAAGGAAAAAGAACCTGCGTTAACTTGGCTCCCTTAATGAATGATATCGAATTTTCATTAATGCAAATCGTTTAATAATCGTTTCAATAATCGTTTAAGATTAAGTAGTTAAAAATAATATTTTGTACGAAAAATTAACTACTAAACGATTATTTTTAACTACTTAATCTTTTGAAACGTACGTAATTTTTCGTACAAAATATTAACTACTAAACGATTATTTTTAACTACTTTACTCAGAAATTAAAAAAGCTCCATTTCTGACAATAATTCTGGATACAGCACAAGACTTGTCAAAAATTTACCAACTATAATAGTTTTTAGATATACCTATCTCGGTTACAGAAAATGATGATAATGTGCCTAAAGAAATAAAAATCTGTGAGTCCTTTTTAGGATTTATAGCAGTAACCGATTGCAGTGCTGCAGGTCTGAAAACTGTCATTTTAAATTTGACTAAAGAATATGGAATTGATTTGACTAAATTCTATATTTACACAGGACAGGGATACGATGGAGCAAATGTTATGTCGGGTGTGTATGGAGGATTGCAAACCCTAATAAAAGAGCATGCTCCAAATGGCGATTATGTTCATTGTGCTGCGCACGCTTTAAACTTGGTTTTGAACGATGCTGTGAGACATGTTCGTAAAGTATCGACTTTTTTCGATAATTTAGAAAAAAAAATATACTTTTTTTGGCAATAGTATAAAACGCTGGGCTATGCTAAGTGACGATTCATCTGAAAAATATTTGATTACCCTTAAAAAGGTATGTCCTACCAGATGGTCTTCTAGGAACGACGCTTTATTAGCAGTAAAGACATTTTTTTTACTAATCATGAAAACTTTGCACCAACTAAATTTAATTTCAAATAAAAAAGATGGACGTAAAGATTGTAAAAGTATAATTAATATTTTAGAGAGTTTTGATTTCTTAGCGCTCGTTACATTTTTTTCTTCACTATTTGAAATTATTAATCCTGTTTCTAAAGCCTTACAGCATGAAAATAATGACTTACAGAAATCTAGTATTTTATTAAGTAATCTTTTAAATAGACTGTACCAATTAAGAAATCAGAATTCATTTAATAGTTTGCTAAATGAATCCAAAGATTTAGCAAAAGAGTGGGGGGTGACAACTGTTTTTAAAAAACAGTAGGCGAAAGATAACGAAGCGTTTTTTTTTGATGAGTTATCACAAGATGAGAGAATTTCCGACCCGGAATCCTATTTCAAAGTCAATGTGTCATATTTCAAAGTCAATGTTCAAAATCAATGTACTATTGCTGTTTAGATATATTTATTTCTCAAACTAAAGAAAGATTTCAGAACCTTTGAAACCTGAGTAGTACATTCGAAATATTACAACCGGAGAAACTCCTATCTTCTTCAAGCGAAGAGATATTAAACGCTTCCGGAAAACTGTCTGCTAAATACAGAAAAGACATCTCACTTAATCTTTGTGACCAATTAAAGGCTCTAAAAACATGCTTAAATTCTGAAATTAAAAAAAATATTCCATTAAAGAACTCATTGAATTATTGCTAGGAAAATTCAATAGTCTTGCATCCAGTTTTCCCGAGGTAATCACAGCATGCTTTTTATTCTTGACCCTTCCAGTTACAACCACAACGGCAGAAAGAAGTTTTTCAAAAAACTAATAAAAAATTACTTAAGAACTTCGCTGGGACAAGAACGGCTGTCAGACATCTCACTATTGTCCATAGAGGCAGAAACTTTAGAAAAACTAAAATCATCATCAGCCATAAATGATTTAATAAGTCAGTTTGACGAAAAAAAGGCAAGGAGAGTGAATATTTAAAATTCGATTTTTATTTGTAAAATGGGTAAATTATGTGATAAATAAATATTTCTTCTCACAATATTTTTTTTCTTTTGTGAAAAATCTTTACCTCCATATACATAAGGGCCTCCAAAAAAAATTTTATACGGGGCCCCGACAAGGCACGCTACGCCACTGCATTCAGATGAGTGTAGGCTATAATATCATACAGAGGGCGCTAGTTGACTATCATAAGAATTCCCAGAAATATTAGAATATAAATAACGTTAAGCTTACATTGTGAAGTATATCACAATTTTAATTATTATAAATACAGTCGAAACCGCTTTAATAACGACATCGATTACAACGACCTATCGGTTATTACAGCCAGATTATATGGTCCCGTCCGAAGTCCTAGTAAACTATTCAGTAAACAAACCGCTTATAACATAATATGATACAGCGACATATCACTTACAACGACGAAACTTTATCGATATTATTACCAACACTATATAATAAGATTGTTCTTTTTGAAACCTTACATTAATTCGGTTTAAGAGGTTTTTAATGTCGTGATATATAGATCTATCATATAGATCTCTTTAGTTTATTTTTCGAATAGCTTTGATCAATTCAAAACGAGACACATATGAAAGCCATGGGTTGGTACGAATAAGTGAAGGATGTTTTGTTATTATATATTGTTAATTATAACATCAAACAACTTTATATAGTGTCCGCCTTCCTGATTCCGCAAAGCCATTTAAATAGAAATTCGACTTCGGTTCGATTGGCATTGGCTCTTTTTTTTAAATAAATTCCTTTTGTATAAGTAACACTTCATAATATTCACCATATTTCAGGGCTGTCCAAGCCATGGCCCGCGGGCCGCGTGCGGCCCCCGGTTCGGATTATTGCGGCCCGCAGATCTTTTTTATATATTCTTTGTTTTAAAACATCAATGAGCAAAATTATTTTTATCGCGATGAAATTCAAATTTTTTAAAGGGTATGTTCGATCACGTCGCACACATCATTTTTTTAGACAGCCTCAAATACATAGACGAAATAATCGTCGAATTCGAGCGACGTTTTGCAGATTTTCAAAAAATGTAGAGTGATATAGCACTCTTCACTAATCTATTGACGATTGCAGTTGAGACTATGAAGATTGATTATCAACTAGAACTGTGTGATCTGCAATAAGACCCCTTTTCCAAGGTCAGAACAGAAACAGGGATATATTTTTTTAAGCTCATCGCTGAACGTTTCCCGAAACTGGCGAATTTCGGGCAAAAAATGGACCCGATGATGGGCAGTACCTACCTTTGTGAGAGTGCATATTCGACAATGAAGCTAATTAAATCGAAATACAGGTCTTCAATGACAGATACTTTACTTAAACATGCACTGCGCCTAGCTACTACTAATATTGAGGTTGATATTGACAAAATTATAAAAGACAAATTAATGGAAAAGTAGTTAATAAAATTACGATATTATTATTACGAGCATTTTATTTTTATAAATATTTTGCGGCCCACCAATGTATTTAATCAATTTTATTGGCCCTCGGTCCCATTTAGTTTGGACACCCCTGCCATATTTAATCATATATACTGGACTACTAAGTAAAAATTTGCAAATCGTACCAAGATCCAAGATTGAAAGGAAACTCAAATTGAAATTGAAGTGAAATTTTTAAAACTTAAATGCTATGGTTAATTAATCCAATAAATAAAAATAATATTTATAAAATATTCTACGATTCCAGTGCGGATAAACCCATACATTTAAAAAAAGGTTAAGCTTGTCAACTTGAAATTGATAGATCACTGGTATAAACATCTCAAAGAAAATTATGTGATTATATTAAAGTATATTTGTCGTTTACCGAGTATACATATTTTTTAATCACTAAACAAAAGTTTTTTACATGTCTTACTGTACTTTGTATATGGCTCCTCTCGTAGTGTCTTCCGAACTTGATGCCTTTTGTTCTTAAGTTAAATAATCTCATGTTCTTGTAATCAAGTTCAAAATGAAGATTAACGAGAAGAATTTATGTGCTTTCGCTTCATCGTCGACTCCCGTGGATCGGGAGGGTTGGTTAGAAATGAGGGGTGAAGTCGGCAAGAGTTACCAAAGAAGATATTTTATGTTAAAAGGAAATCTGCTGTTTTATTTTGAAAAGAAAGGAGACAAAGAACCTGTGGGGGTCGTAATACTCGAGGGATGCACTATTGGTAAATGTTTGATTTGACAATAGAAGTAAGTAAATTATTTTTTATTACTGTTTTAACATATTAATTGTTTTATAGAATTAACAGAGGAAGAATCATATAGCTTCAAAATAGTGTTCCACTGTGAAGGTGGCCGTACTTATTATCTATGCACAAACTCACAGTCTTCAATGGAGGGCTGGATGAAAGCCTTGGCCTGTGCTAGTTATGATTATATGAAACTTATGGTGGCCGAGCTTCAGAGACAATTGGATGAAGCTCAAGGTCAGATGTATTTTATTACTGTATTTTGTAGCTGTTTAAAATATTACATTTATAATGTTATGAACATTGTTTAATTGCTTTACTCTACATTGTTAGTTACATATTTTCCAACAGTGCATAAGTTTTTGGGCCATTTTAACAATGAATTGGTATTAAGGGAACATGAAGGTGTTTTATTTTGTCTTAACTTATATTGTCAAAATTTGTAATATATATACATATATGTACTTTTGCAAACATTGTACAATATACCAAATATCATGAAAAACCATTTCTAACTTTTTTTAAAAATTTCGTCAATGACACATTATCTAACATGATTATTTTGTGTTCCAGCTGAAGAGTCAGTAGAAGCTGCGACTGTGGTCACCGTCTCTCAAGCAGGAGAAGAACCCAAAGTACCACCGAGAGGACAGAGACACAACCCATTTAACAAAGCACCTGATGATAGTAAAGTTGTTGCCGGGAGTAGGCATTGTAAGACAAATTACTCCAAACAATTGATATACTTTATATGATAATATAATAATTATTATAAATTATGATTACAGACAAAGAGAACATGAAACCAGAAGTGGCTCGAAAGAAAGTTCCATTTCGGGAAATACACAAGGCACACGGACGAAAGATCTTGTCGGACCGCAGTGAGTGGCGAGCCTCACTACGTTCACGACTCAATGAAACACCACTCATACAACTATGATCAGGATTAGTTAGTTAGTTGTATAATTGTAAATATTAAACAGTAGATGAATTTAAAAAGTAACCATTAACTTTTGAGTGTGTCACATTTTTGTATTAAAAAATTGTTTAGGACAGTATTATAGGTATAGGTTATATAAATTCACTTTGTTAATTTGTTTGTTGCTAAATGATCACCATTTGTTTCAAAAGTTTTTTTTTTCATGGGAATCCTCATTATTATGTAAAATACAATATAGTTTGATGTAAAAATATTTTTTCACTATCACCTAATATTAAAGAAAATAATTTTGAGTGTGCACAATCATTTATTAGCAACACATTAGTTATTGTAATGCTTCCTATTGTCATAAAAACACCAAGACCATGTGAACAATAGAAATAAAACAATATTATTGTATTAAGTAGTTTATTTTTAAAAATCTTTGTTATATAATCCAACACTTTACAACGTCACTTAAGACAGGGAGATACATTCATATATATAAAGTAATTGGTGTAATTGTAACTTAGTTTTTTTTTTAATAAATTTGTTAAATGTTATAAACTTAATAAGTAATACTAACTATAGACTTGGACGCCAAATATAACTATGATAGTCGTCATGTTACCATTACACCAGGGAACTTGTCTCTGTTGAACGACATTTCAGTAGAATTTTGGTATTTTCCATAACAATTTAATTGAGCAATACACCGAAAGATATGTGGCTGTGTACACACACACACACACATACATACATCGAGGAAATGACACGACGATGTGAACAAATAAGTGGAAGACAAATGCCCAGCTTGGAAAATATGGTAACGAACACACACAGTGACAGCTGTCACACACACAGATAAGTTAGTATGTGTAACGATATAAAGAAAACTGTGACAAAAAACTCTAAATAACTAATGTATAGAGTTAATATGAAAATAATACACAATATAACCTGATACGAGATATTACGTGTCAATAATTAAGAATTTTGTTTTTAAACAATTTTAATACTATCTCATTAATGTAACAGGAAATAAAGTTATAAATCGAATATATAAATCTCCCATTTCCGAATAAATGTAAGTCTATTAATGTACAAAAATAATAAACAAGTGATATTAAACACTAAGGGAACACAGCCATATACTCTCTGAATTTTCATTAACGACTTTGAATGCCAAATGAATTTACAGAAAAATTATTTAAATACCCAAAATGCATATTTTGGGTATTTACTACCAAAGATGAAAGATTACTTAAATCATCATCGAGAGTGTACAGCTGTAATTCCAAATAAAACGCGCGAAAAACGCGAATGTCAAATAAAAACACATAAATAAGAAATATTTGGTAACAAACTCCTTAAAAGATAAAACGGGCAGCAAACAAACTGTGCACGAAAAGACTGGTTACAGTGGACGTGAGTATTTACACAATGTTACAATTTTACAAAAAAAAAAAAACGACACTAACCCGAAACTACGCTAATGATACAAGATGAAAAGAAAAATGTTCACTCCAGACAAGAAAAGATTATAATGATGCCTCAAATAAATATAGAATTATTTTTGGATGGCATTAAAGGTAAGTGACAGTCAGAAGGAGGCGAAATAGATTATAGTTAATTAAAATTAAGTAAAAAAAACAATGCAAACAAAAGTTATATACAAATTGTGGTGGGTGGGAGTTAAAAAATCTGGCCACTTCTCGTAGAGGAAGGACATTTTTGGTCTTAGTTATTAACTTAAATACATAATGAATACATTCTAATATATTAATGTAACAAACACTACGTCGTCAAAAAACTCGTCTCAACAACTCAGTTGTAAAAGAACTGACTTAATTCATGTTGAATTCATCGACTTTCTCAAGGCATCTCAACCGAGCCTCTGTTTCATACGTTTAAGGCATGATGAAGCAAAGTGGCCAGGTGCTAGCGTGGAGGGTGGTGGGGAGACTTGTTGTGACTCTCATGACCAGTTTATATACTATCATATGATATCTCCGATGAATAAAAATTTGATTCGTTTCTTGCGTTTTGACACGACGTCCGCTAGAGGCGCCACCGTCGCTTGTGGCTTCTCATACTCATGGTGACTTTAGTTCTGTGAACATATGTAGAATAAATTAAAGTATTGCTTATAACAGTTTTCTATAGAAATGTTTTTATAATCATCACCTGCACCGGTGACAGCGTCATGTTCCTGGCGCTGTCCGAGCTGCTGAACACTCCGCCCGAAGACAGAGGACTCGGTCGAGGTGACTTCGACTGATACAGATTATAGGGTGTTATTGTATGTTATGTTTAACTGTGAGTGCATGAAGTATGGATGTAACTTGATATTAATATACATACATATATGTATATATACCTATAATCATCAAAGACCAGGTTTTACATATACATATGTATATGGTAAGACTTTTATATGAATACATTTTTTTGTTAAAGAAAAGACTCAACTTCTCTTTTCCATGAGTAGTGACGGAGCAACAAATATCAAAGAAGCAACTGAATGGATACCTTACCATACGATTGGTAGTTTATTTAATATTAAATCATATCAAACATGTATTACCGGAGCGTCCTCTAACAGCTGCGCGAGTGTGGACGCCTCAGAGTTCTTCAGCTCATTGTTCGCCTCCGACATGATGTGGGCTCGAAGTTGTTTGTTGCTGAAAGAATGTATTTTATTATAGAAGATGGATCATGATGAGTGTGTTTATGTATCAGTATCATGTAGTGTGTTATACCGCGCGTCCAGTTGCATGATGTGTTGGTGCGCGTGTGCGAGCTGGGCCGCGGTGGTCGCGAGCCGCTCCTCCAACGCCGCGGACTCCACACACTTCACAGAGTACTTCTCAGACAGAGACAGGATCTCGCGTTTTATTTCCTCCATCTCCTGTCTGGAAAGTGAGAAGAATAATGATTAGGAGAATAAATCGTCTGAGTCTAGTGATTGGTGGCTGTCGTGTTGATAGTTTATGTAAGTCAATATTTACTGGTGCCTCGAGCTGAGCTGTCCCAGGTCGGGAGCGCCTCGTGCGAGGAACTCCGCCTTGAACTTGTCGACCTCGCGGCGGACTTCGCTCTCGTGTGCCTTCCGCATGGCGTCCAGCGCGGCTAACGTGGCGCGAGTCTCTTCCGCCAACGCTTGCTCTTTCTCCAACCTTCGGGGAATGGAAACGAGTTATTTCACATCGTCACACGTTCCAGATTAAAGTAGTTCAATGTTCTCTACTGACCTGAGCTGATCTCTTTCCGCGCGGTGCTTGTCTTCCATCTCCCTCACGATGCGGCGGTGACTGCTCTCCATAGCCATGAGTCCCTTCTCGCACAGCGCCCTCAGCTGCTCGATCTCTTGTTGGTAGCGCGCCCTCAGCCCGTCCCCGTGCGCGTCCGTCGACACCGCGCTCTGCGTTGTTTGCTTTGATTAAATATAGTTAAGAGACTCGACTCCCATCCGCCCGACGGACACCGGTCACTCACCTGATACGCCGCTCGGAGGCTCTCCAGCTGGGCTGAGTACTCTGAGTCGAGCGCGGCCAGTCGTCGCTGTAGTGTGCGGGCTCGTTCTCGCAGTCCGGAGCGTTCTCTTTCATGTTGAGCCTGTAGCTGGGCCCGAGCGCGGCGAGCTGCTGCTAGTGCGGCAGCTTGCTGCGCCAGAGCACATTCACTGCGTGCACGTTCGGCAGAGAGTCGCTCCAGAGCCTCCTGTAGTCGAGCACACTGCGGACACTGCAGCGCGTCCACACGTCGCCTCAAGGCAACAAGCCGCTGCACCAGCCCGCCGCCCGGCGCGTCCTCGTCCTCCGCCGCCCGCTGGTCGGCCAGTTCCCCCGCCAGCCGGCGATGCGCCGCCGCCACCGCCGCCTCCGCGCGCTCGAGGCTCTCGCCGATCTTCATCGAGTCTTCACTGTTGCCCGAACAGTCACTGGAGAAGAGCGCCCGGCACTCGGTCGAGAAGTGCCGGAACAGGTAGACGAACTCGGCCTCCGTGGCGGGATCGGTCTCCAACGAGGAGATGGCGTCCTCGGAACGGCGACCGGCGTCGAACGGTTCGGAGGCGCGGTAGGTGCCTTCGAGGACGGCGACGCGGGCGTCCACGAGAGCCTTCTGAGCGAGGACGTCGGCCAGCTGCTGCAGCAGCGCGCGGCTGTCGAGTCCCGGGGAGCCCTCGCGGCGCCGGTCAGCGGCGAGGCACTCGCGGTAGCGCGCAGCTATATCTCGCACGGCGGCGTCCATCTCGCAGCGCAGGTGGTCGTGAGCTGCCTGCCACCACAGCTCCAAGTCGGCCCGGTGTTGCGCTGTAAGTGTGAGTCGCGCGTTCCTGGACTCGTGCAGCCGTCTCTCGCAGAGCTGCGCCGCTCGTCCCAGCGCACGCGCCACCTCAGCTTGTACCAGTTCAGCTCCGAGGGCGTCTCGTGCTGCCGCCCACGCCTCCCGAACCCGAGCCGCTTCAAGTCCGGCTCGTTGTCGCTCGGGCTCGTCTCCAACGGCCGCGTAGTGTAGTGTTTCGTTAGCGAGCGCAGAACACAGTTCACCCAGCTTCTCGGTCTTGTATTTGTCAACAGCTTCCGCGACCTCTTTCTGGGAAGTTTTCAAGGCATCAAGGTCTGCGCTCTGTATAATCACTTCTGATTTACTCGGATCGTCTTCTTCTCTATTGTTAGACATCACATCGATCTTACGTGAAAGTATTCTCGCCAGATAATCAAGGGAGCTCTTTGTGGCGGATGTGGTTTTCTCTCCGTTTATTTTATTCTTAAGGTTATCGATCAATTGACTAGTTTCGATTATTTCAGACTTTATTAGTCTAGCAAAGAATCTGCTTCCGTTAGACGACTCGAGGGCCTCTTGTATTCGTCCGATCAGAACCGCCTCATATGCCAACTTCTCTGCCAAAATTTCTAAACTCTTTCTTTGCGTTAATTCTCCAGCTTCATAAAGAGCTGCTTTCTTTTTAGATATTTCTAGAAGTTTAGACCTCAGTTGTTCTTCTAGCTGTACTACTACCTGAGCAACGCTGTCGTTAATGTCCTCAGTTCCTTGTTCTGAAGGGTCTATAACACACTTATCAAAGCATTCCTGTAGTCTTTTGCTGACATCCATTAAACACTTTTCCATAGATTTTATACTATATTTCTTCTCAACGCTCGGTGATGGAGATCGTCTAGACTTAGCCGCTCGCATTGCGCTCATTTGACTAAGACAGTCATTAATTTTGCTTCGTGAATGTATGATAATATTTTCAAGAGTTTGAAGCCTATCCAAGAGATGCCTCTGTGATTGTGTCCCAATTGTACAGCTTTCTAAGCTTTCGCTATTATTTGTACCTTCCGGGGATCTTGCCATGGGACTTAGAGATTCACAGGAATTTGTTAAATCTCGGCGATTTTCTATAGCAGTTGCAACTTTGGTTTCAAGCGAACTCAAGCGGACTAGCATTTTCATGGGCTCCGAACTCGTAGCGCTGTCTAATGACTTCCGTCTCAGTCTAGCAGCTAATCTTTTCATTCGTTTCTCGTCGTTGGTACTATCGGTTTTGGACACTTTTTCCTTGGCAGGAGAAGCACTTTTAGAAGGTGAATTGATCGTAGGCACGGATTCGCCGTTTTCTAGAGATGCAATCTTATTTTCAAGTTCTGTCAATTTTTCTTCTAATTCTTTTCCTAACGTAAATGATTCTCTGCCCTTCAATGACAAACTGCGCCTCTTTTCTCTGGATTCCGTTTTCTGTATTTTATGTTTCAAAGTTCGCACTTGTTTATCTGAAGCTGTAAGTTTCTGTGTTAAATCTAAAATACGTGTAGCCATTAAATCCATTTCTGATCTGATACATTGTTCTCTCAATTTCATTTCGTTTCTCAGCTTCATGTTAGTAATTTCTAGTTCATCATACATGTTATGGGATTCGCGAAGCTCTTTCTTCATGGCCTTAATTTCCTCTATAGCCTTTAAAAACCTGTCCCTTAACTCTATATACTCTTGTATCAGTCTATTTTTCTCTAAAGACTCGAGATTCAAATCTTTATTAATGTTGCTAAGATCACTAAGTGAGCCAATGCTTTTCCTCTTTTCTTTTGTGGGTGACTCGTTTATAACCTTATGTTCGAGTTCTCGTATCCTTGCATATAACTTATCGTTATCTTTGACACTTCTCATTAGCTTATCATTAAGCTCATTTAATTCTCTCTGTAGTTGCTTTATAGTGTCATGGGCCGTCGATAACTGCTGTGTCAAGTTTTCGCAGTGATCGTTGGATTCTTTTAAAAAGTTTTGTGTTTCTGTCAGTTTCTTTTCCCACATATTGTTATGTTCATTATATAGTTGCTTTATTGTATGCAAACTCTCTGCTTCCTTCGTTCTAGCAGCCAGTTCTTCTTCTTTTTGTTGTAGTGTTATTACAAGTTCTTCCATTTTCTTTTCTTTTAAAGCAGCTTCAGATTTCAGTTTTCGTAGTCTCGCCAGTTCTGACTCGGCTGTATTAACATCGTTCAGTGCTTGTTTGAGCTGGTTTCGTAGATCCTCGATTTCAATTATTTGTTTATCTATCGTTGAAACGTAACTTCGTTTCCTTGGTTCATTTGGTTTATCGTTTTCGTCAACTTCGGTTATTATTTTCTGATCTTTTTCTTTGGTAGCATCGATTTCATCTTTATCAAGTTTTGTTTCTGTTTTGGGTGTGGTTTGTTGACAGCCACGTGCTCGTACTTTTTCTTTCACTTTAGAGATAGGCGTGCGGTTAAGAATAGGTGATGGTGGCGGTTGTAGGGTCAAGTCTCCCCAATCTGCGCTATCCCGTCGACCACCTTCAGATGCCGTTCTGTATTCTTCATCCGATGAAAATGGTCCTGACTTCGCAGTGTTCGGTGTGATGGGTGTTATAGGAGAGGTTGACGACTCAGAAGCTTGATCTACAGAGTCCTCTCTTAAAATAAGAGACAGTGATCCAGTATCCGGTAGACCGGCCGTCCTTCGCATAGCCGAGACCCAATTGGCTCTGATACCAGCTGTGACGGCTGATAAGACTATGTGTTTGCCATCCCATGTCTGAAATATTAATAAAATACAGAGTAAGAACTAAAACAGTACAGTCAAAAATACGTAAAAAAACATTTTTAATGAATCCTGTCAAAATACCTCAGTTTCAAAAGCAAATCCATTTGTAGTTGTAGAGGACGGCAGTTCCACCACTCTTGATATTCCACTCAGATCAATAACTCCGTCCATCAGACCTCTATGTTCAGCGTGCGGGTCCCTGAAGTACAACAAGGCCGCTCCTCGGAGTACGAACCAGTGTCTCGACCAGCCCCCCGGTCCCTCGTCTCTGGAGCCAGCCCGCTCGTGCGTGCAGTAATCTCTCAGCGGGCAGTTCCACTCGGCCTCCTTCTCCTTCCGTATTTTCCACTGTGTCGGTCGGTTCACTACCTTCACTAGCTGAGCTCGTTATACCTTCTTCGGCAGGCGGACCACCATCCGGTGAACCTCGAGCCTGTGAATTTGATAACGATATATTTGGCTGTTATTTTTTGAAATGGAAAATATTTTGAATAGGGGTGTAGGGTATTCTTTATTGCTGTTCATCCATTATAGGCCAGTGCAGAAGCCTTTAAAATTAATGAAAAGTGAAAATAAATTATAGTAGAATGAAACTCATTACAAAAGGAGGGGAATATTTTAAAAATTAAAGGAAAAATAATTTACGGGCGATCTGAGGTCGGGAAGGATATCTAAGGGTAAAAAATGCGTTTTCTCGATTTCCGGCAAAACTAAAAGGCCTACGGAAAAATGTTATATGACAAAGTTGTAGGTAATAAAAAGATCTAAAACTTTTATATTAACATTTTTTTCACATAACCTCAAAATTGATGTGCAAAATTCAAGAACCCTAGTTTTTTGTTTTTTATTTTTATCTCTTCCAATAAACATTATTTTGTCACGAAATTTGGTGAAAACTTTCCTTTTGATGTTACAAATGCACTGTAATTTATTTGATTCTCAGCTTATTTTGAATAAATACTGAAAAATCTGTCTCATTTTCAATCGAAAAATCACCCGTCAAAATATCAGCAATTTTCAAAAATTTGGTATGTTTTCAATTTGTTGAAAATCTATTTTTCGATGGTGAAGAAAAAATATAAGTTTCTTACTTACAGTACCATTTTTGGATAAAATAATCATGTCTCTCTTAATGAAATGACACTCGACATCGTTTTGGAAATGCTCTTTCTAATTTATTTTTAATAGCTGAGTACTCTGGAAGTTCTCCAGATAGTCCTTCTTTTAGGTAATTTACAGAAAATTGACATCGAGCTGCTAAAACTTTCACATAAATTTTGAGGTTATGTGAAAAAAATGTTAATATAAAAGTTTTAGGTCTTTTTACTACCTACAACTTTTCCATATAACATTTTTCCGCAGGCCTTTTAGTTTTGCCGGAAATCGAGAAAACCCATTTTTTCCCTTAAATACCCATCCCCATATCCTTCCCGCCCTCAGATTGCCCGTAAATTATTTTTTCTTTATTTTTTATAATATTCCCCTCCTTTTCTAATGAGTTGATTCTACTATAATTTAAATATGTTTTAAAAGCTATCGGCACTGGTCTATTAGCCCTATTTAGAAAGGGACTGTAATTTGAGTTTTATACCAGTAATCTATCAGGTGGTGGCAGTCGTGTTGGTCTCTCCAAGGCCGGTAGGGCTCGTCGTGAACGCGGGCGGGTCAGGGACGCCGCTATATCACGCAACTGTTCGTCATATTGAGCGTGATGCTGCAACAGTGGAGACGAGACAGGACCTGTAAATGACAGGAGAATAGAAGTTAAGTAATGAAAAATATATATCAGCTTCAGAACAGTTATACAATTGAGGCATTTCATAATAATGTGATATGCATTCACCATACCATTTACCAGTGCTGTGATGCAGAGAGCAAGAGTGAATAACAGTTTTTTGTGATAAAATGTTATGATGCTGTTTCAGAAGAGAAATGCAAGACATTTAACTGAGCTCGTGGTATAAGGTGAACAAGGTATCCAGACGGTTGATATCTGGCTTTACATACTGAAAACAAAGACTCATTGTTCGTCATAAGATACCTTCGTCGTTGGAAGGTGAGGTGGTGGGTTCGGGCCAGGTGTCCCGTCGTCGGGAGCGAGCCTTCTCCTCGCCGTTGATCTTATCCCGTGTGGGCGGAGACGCGGACGACACCGGCTGATCTGTATACACTGATTACAAACAAACCAAGGATATATTTGTGTATACGAGCTCTGGCATACTTCGACTCATAAAGTATCATTCAGTTAATTATTACATCGTTGGGGCATGAAAAATTACATGGATTATTGTTTTTATAATACTCATTGTATTTAGTCTAACTTCGTCGTATACTTATATAAAAATTTCATTTCATTATTAAAAGATATCATAGAGCAATCAGATGATCACAACGCATTATATAGCTATATTGGTGTTTGTTTGAGGTCGCTTGAATAAAAAATACGTCGATTACAGAAAATCACTTGGGACGAGTTTTTTAGTGCATTTATATAATCCTAACAGTTTTTTTATGTAACACTTTAAACACAATACAAACCCGTATCCTCATGCCTCATGCTATTGAAGCTCGTACACTTAAGCCAGTCATTATGTGTACGAGTCAGTTTGCATTCAAATTATTGATGCGATCAGTCAACAGTGTAAAGGCTGGTTGACATTAATTCTGTTCTCCAACTGAGATACTTGAAGGAATCCAGCAACGAGCAGATCGCGTGCCAAGGTCGCAAATAAGATAAAAACATAAAAAATATGCGCCCTTTTAGCCGATAATTTACGACTAAGGGAACCGACGGACGCGCTAGTTATTGTTATATTAAAATACGTCTTAAATACTCCGCTCGTATAAGTCATAGTTTATGATTTAAATTGAAAATCTCGGTTTATTGTCATTTTTAAGCACATTGATTATAGGCTTATTTGCAGTAAATTATATTTTAAAACATGTTACGATTGTTACTACACTCTATATAGATTAATGAGAAATGTTTCATATCGAGACGCGTCAGTGAATATTTTGGTTTATATGCTCTCCTTAGTGTTGTATGGAGTGCTTAACGACCAACTATCGAGCGATCTCTGCTCTGACGATCAAATAATATAAATGAACCTGTCATTATGCAAAATTGCGCTCTCCGTCGAAACATTTAACCCGTACGGAGACGCACGCGATCATAAAACTGAAGAATTCCAATTGTTGCTATACTTAGATATTCATTTGAATGGATTCAAACACATTATTAGGCCATTTTCATTTGAGTATTAATATATTTATCTTATAACACCGCTTGCAACCATTCTTCCAATAAAATATATCAAACTGAATAGCCTAGTGTAGCAAATATATTGCACCTTAAACTAAATTGTTACTTTGAAAAATTATAGCCTCGGTAAGTCGGTTGAAATATCCAAATAGCTAACATTTTCTATTCAAATGGACTACACTGTTCCCAGATGCCTCACTAAATGGCGTCAACTTGATCGTTCTCTTTGTCGGCAACGCGAGGATATATTACTACATATATGTGTGTTCACATGTACATATAATAATATATGTACAGCTAGTAAATCATCATTAAGATTGCAGTCGTATATTCGTGAGTCACAGTTCCAGCGCAAGTTATTATTTTGCATATTAATTCTTTATTAGCAATCATATCAGACAGTTACGGCCGTCTCGAGAGATGTCAACGTTTTCACCTGTTTTATGAATAAATATAAATGTCTAGAGAAAGCATGAGAAACATAAGATTGGATCACACACACTTGTAATTAGAGAGGATTGATTTATACCTCTATGAGTTATCTTATTTACGAAATGAAGTACTATAACTATGAAATTGTATTTTGATGTAAAATTAAATTTGCGGTACCTAATTTTGCTATGAAGGGTTTAAATTTTAAACTATATCTTAGAAATAGATAACATACCTCTTAGAAAATAATTAAGGTATCAAATATGCATACAAATACGTTTTGAGTTCTTAAAGTCAAAAAGCAAATGTGGATATTGACTTAATGGGTTCAGTAATATTTACATCTCAGAAGTAATACTAAAATAAGTTAACACATTAAAAGTAAATTAAAACAACATAATTGTAAGATAGAATCCAAAATCGTTTCAATCGCAAAGCAGTTCATCAGTTCAGTATGTCGCTCTGTAAATGTTATATGTATGCCATGTAACCTTGAACCATAGCTGGTAACTACCCGTCGTATTGTTATAGTTAAGTGTCATTTATAATATGAGTTTAACAACAAACACACAATAGACGCTACAATAAGATTCCACTATACATTAAAGACTCAAACCATTGCATTTTAAATATATTATTCTATTACCGACACTGACTTTGGCGAGGATAAAGCATTTTTAACCATAAATATGTCAAGAAATATAAAATATAGGTAGATAGTTTTTTCAATAATAAGTTTGAGTATTGTTGAATTTGTTATTGATTTGTTCGATGGCACAGATACATAAGCAAACAGAGTTCATGTGGGTACAAGATTTATCAAAGTCTTAAGTCATCTGACCTCGGATCAAGTGTAGCGAAGTAGGTTCGTACTGCAGAAGGCACGTCAAACCAGGTGCTGGTTTGTTTTAGGTATCGTAAGGTCAAGTTAGAAGGTTCTAATATAAACCTTTCCACTTTAAGAAAACAAATTATTCAGGCTGAAGACAAAACAAATTAACTAATTTCTATATCATCATCTATATTTCATTTCTAGATAATTGGTTCTTATTTAAGACTTAAAATATTGGAATATGCCCATTAAGTATAGTTTTAAGAATAGAAGTTTATCAAATTTTTCTGTATCTACGAAAATTTCGTTAATTTGCTAGACAATGCGGACAAAGTCGCGGGTATCAGATAGTCTCATAAGAATGTAAATATTATGTTTTCTTACTTTGATACATAGATAAATATATACTTTTTTGTATCATATTAACGATGTAAGTTTAAAAGACTAAGTTCAAGTTAACCGCTGTTAAATCAGCAAATCGTCTAGTTTGTTAATCGTTGTAAATCGCCGTCTGTTGAACGCCCACAGGCCACTCCGGTACTGTACTTACACGTGATGTTTTATTGATAGCAACACACACGTCCGACTCTGTCGTTGATTTATAAGAATGCGATGTTTTGGCGTCTCGTTTCAAATGATAATTACACGAAAAAGCAGTTAACTAATTTTAAGAAGGTCGTCGAACTGATCTCGGTACAGAATTGAATATAAAAACAGCAAATCGAATTTTTTATCGTTTAAATAATAGATATGGTATTTTTCACGGATCGAATAAGCACGTGTGTTTGTTTTTTATTTTATTATATGTTAAAGTACGTCTTTCTTTGTTATTTGTTTTATATAACAGAATATGAAAGATAATTTTTAAAAGAATTACATTATAGGAATTCTGACCGTAAATATTATTATTTTTTACTGAATATTTTAATATTTTGTCACACTTATCTGTTGTATTTTAAATCCTCTGCAGACAGTTAGTCCGCACAAAACGCAATTACATTGAGTTTTAAAATATGCTGAACATTTAATGCTTCAAGATTTCATCAGTAACGTGAGGGGTCAACGACCCAGCATCATTAGTCACTATGTTAGAGCTTTCGTCGAGACATCACAGATTCGTCAGCATTTTTTGCAGAGTTACGAACGTGTCACGATTCAAAGAAGCAATTAAGCCGAAAATTACATAATTGTATATACATTACATTGAGTTTTTATAAAATTTTTTGCTCCAAATATTGTGGTATATTATCAAAATAAAGATCAAATTAAATGGAAGTGCCTGTGGTTATATTTTGGAGTGACCGCAACACACGCGGCTTTTACGTTTATAGAGATCGAATTCGTTTATCATTGTTTCCCTAATCATTAATAATATCAAAAATTTCCTTGAATTTTGGCCATCTTTATCTTAAAATTTTTGATTATAAACGATAGAAACATTCACTAAATATTAATGTTAAACAAATTATAATTTATTTCAGTAAAGGTAGTAGAAATCACTGCCAATAGTTAGCGGGTAATGCATCATAACTTCTGTTATCATTGGAACCGAATTGCAACAGTCGACGTGTAGACAAAGGTCGTCATAATTCATACAAATGTTAATTCAGATAACTTTAATGTTAATATCGTGAATAAATCATAATATATTTAAACAACTCGTAGGCTGATTTGATTGGAAACATTGCATTTTTTATATGGAAGTATGATGAGTGTAAATGTATGCAGTTAATGACATTATCTTCTTATAGTTTTATTTAATAGCTAACAACTGACGTACTTGAAATACTTGGGAATATTATCTCATAATATACGAGTGTGAACAGTATTGTTGTAAATTGTTTTACTACGGAAACTCATATTATTCTCACTTAAACAAAAATATTACAACGTATTAAATTAACATTGAATATATTATAATTCTTTTGTAAGATTCATGATGATAATATTATTAAAATATTCGTGTAATATAAACGTATAATAATAAAGTTTGATAGATCAGAATGATTATCAAATTAAATGTACAGAACGGAAGAAATTAATTTAAATATATTTCTAAATATTATAATTTAAATAGTTGTAACAAGTAGTAGTGGTTACACGAGGTAATATGTAATTATCGAAGGTTACTGCTAAGGTATTAGATAGGTTATTAAGATCGACCCGTGTAGGACCGAGTTGGTACGTACTGGTTTGACTTTTACTATTGCTAAAATATTAATTCAGTTTCCTTTAAAATTTTAATCACCTCTAAGTCAAATAGTTACGGTCAAACAGAGTTAGTGTCGCAATTTTTTTGCTAATTTTTATTCGAAGTTAGTCAATTTCTTCTAAATATATTTAGACTTAAAATATTTGTATAATGTGAATATAATTTTAATCGTAATGATGATACAAAATCGTATAACGGCACTACATCAAGACTGTTTAAACTTAACACTTGACACAAACAACATGACTTACAGCACGTAGTTAATGAGTTATCTGTAAATGAAGTATTTGTACCTTCGACCCGGGAAACGGAGTGTTGAGGAAAATCATGAATTGATAATACTGTTATGAAAATATATCTGTTATTATTTGTATGAGATGAACCAGGAAAAGTCGAATTAAACTATGAAATGTTAGACTTAGTTTAAGTTGCATCTTAAAGATTTAATATTGACATTATCTATACATTCCGTTTATCTGTGTACGTGGTATCGCGTTTGTTATGTGAGGCACGTCTGGTAGGTATGTAGTAAGTGCCATGTGCCTCCTAGCTCAACCTGTCACCTAACTAACGGTTTCTAATTAGGACCAGCACGAGATTTATAACCTGGGAGACGCTGCATAGGAAGGGGACATCCAGACAGTTAGCTTTGATACTGAGATATAGGATTTTCGCGAGTTTTATTCATTAAAATGAAACAAATATTTTTAGGATATATTACGCGGTTGGTCATATCTCGTCTGCCCGTGATCACGGTTGCTGAAAAGTAGCCGAAACGTCGCGGGTCTGTAGTTTTTTCACAAAAATAAACTGCGTATTAATCCGAAAAATATTAGTTTCATTTAAATGTAAGCTTTGATATTTTTAACATAACTACTACTCTGTATTTACTATAGTTATTGCTTAGGACGTAAGGAAGTCGAAATTGGATTTGTAGAATTCGTTTTTTATGTAATGTTTAATGACGCAATAGTCTTGTATGAATATATATTTTAATAACGGCTGTTTGTGGCCATGTTTCCTATATATAGGGTGATAAGTTTTACATTTATGATAATCCACTTGCAAATTACAGGATGTTATAATATTAATATAAATTAAATATTATGTTAAAGTAATTATTAAACGAGATAATTTACATATTATAGTGATTGCTATCTAAGATTCCGATCGATATTTCGTAATAGCAAAACTTACTTATGTTTTGGCGTGTTCGAACCGATTTCAAAATAAATACGAACGTTACAAAATTATTTAGAACTCACTAATAAGGCCCATAGTTATAAAGTTATGGGACAAAATTTGAAATGCAAATTTCCATGAGCGCCATCTAAAGTGGGAAGGCATGTTTGAATGAGGGAAAATATACAGTGATTCAGTTGTGTTCGGAACTAAATGATTTTGTAACAATGTTTAATTTGGAGCAAGTTAGATACTGTGCAGCTATAAACTGGTAAGAGTGAAGTCACCTGCATAACTTATAGAGAAAATCAAGTATCTTTTGAGTAGAATTTAAACTTAGCAATAAATTAAAATAAAATTAAAAAACATTATTTATAAAAATTTCTTTAGTGCAATGAAAGTCACAATATTACGACAAAAGCGGAACACGTGTGTATCCTACCTAACTGAATTGCAAAAGGCTGTATATCAGATGCATGCTCATTTGAAATAGGGGCCGATGTCACGTGGGAGTGGCCCGTTGAATAGATTCAATGAAAGCTACCGAAGGCCGTATGTTCCCAGGGTTATCAAGGACATGTACATAGCGTAGTCATGAAGTATTGTGGAATAGTGACAGGTCCGATAGAGGCGTACGAAGGTTAAGTTGCTGTTGGTCTGTGGCAAACGTGTCTCACCTTTAGTGTCGATGTTGGTGGGGGCGGCGAGGCTCGGTATCTCTGGCTGCGGCGGCTGGACCCTTGGCCACGTGGTCGTGCTGCCACAGAACCTCGGCCGGCAGTCTGCTGCGTCGCGCAACGTCGACGCGTCTGCGGAGTATTCTGTAATCAGATCCCGGCCTTAAACTGCGTCTTATACCGTGGAGAGAATTTATTGTTGGCCACAAGCTGTAACTGAGACGCTTCGCTCTATAGCTTCATAATCCTTGTAACTTGTATTGGATGCAAAAGCCCGTATCGTAATAGAGTCTGTACATACTTCTCGTTGTCGAAGATTGCAGTAAACTCGCGGTCTGACCTCCGGGAAACGTGGCGTTGCGTTTGTGTCGGCCCTGAGGACAAGCGAAGCGAATTAATAATTATAAACAAGTTATTTAGTAGAAAGGTGGATTAGGTTTCTTATTAACAGTATTTTATGGTACATAACTGGTTCCATTTAAACGAGGAACCGGGAACATTTAACGTACTAACATTTATAACATCAACAGATCAAAGCTGGTTTCTAGATCTACAGTAATTTTTGCGATAAATTTTACTACCCATTAAATTTATTTCTGTAAAGTCTATATTATTGCTCTGATTTCAATGAAATTAATCAGACATAATTTTAAATCCCCCAAACGATATTATAATCGTAATAGATGGCACAATAAAAGTACGAAGCTTTTGAAGTTCATTCAGATTAAACCTTACACGTCTGTTCATACTTTCATGACAGCCCACAAATCTTCATAATCCACGGCGTTCGATTACAGCTTAAGGAGTGGAAATGCTGTTAGAAACTTGTTAATTGTTCGAAAGCACATAACTGTGAACCGATATTAGTCGAGCGACTGGACCTTGGCTAATGGATTAATTGTATTGAGGGAAATTATATCTGAACATGGAGCATACGAGTCGGATTACATAAATGGAGGTTGGCTTCGGATTATTAAAATAACAAAGACGTTTTACAATAATATCTCGATGGATTCCGATGAAACGAAAGTGATTGAATTATAAACCACAAAAATGCAGTTTAAGCTTTAGGTGAAGTCACAAGAATAAAGATGTGTTTCAAACACTATTATTTATTATTGATGTGAACATAAAACAATTAGACCTCACCCACACCGTTACATTAAATACTTCTGGTGTCGTTGAACTGATAACTTTTGATACCAGCTCTGTTTGTACGTAATAAATAACTTGAAGAGATAAATGAAGTCAGAATTATGGAGGTTGACTGATTTTATGATGACTCCACAGTCGGTCCTCGATACAAAGTAACACAGAACTCGCGCTGTAAATAAGAAGCTGCTAATTACATAAAATTGATTTTACCGTAGCACGTCCAAAACGATTTATTACTCGTAAAACTGGATCCTCAGTTATTAATTCACAACACCATTAATTTTATGCAACTCAGTTAAAATAACACAAATTAGTTATAGAGTCCAATTAATTCACTGCTAATTGAATCAGTTCCCAGTTAAATTAATTGGTCTAACAATTTCTACACTTCCTTGATCTGGTATGGTGTTCTGATGTTGCTCTGTAACTTCCTTATATCGACAAAAACACTAATTAATGTGTTCAGGAGGATGTGTTCATAAAAATGGTCTACGGTTATTAGAACTAGTCTTTGATCATCTTTTTTTTTCTTTTTCCCTGTTCTATAAGTGATAAAAAAAATAAAATTGATTTCAAAATATTTTTTACAGACACATAGCTTCATGTATATTGTGTGATATAATAATTCTTGTGTAGTTCCAATAGCCGGTTCAGTTCCAATAAAAATGTCGTATATTAAACACGGAGATTAAACATGAGTGTTCTGATGTCTCTGTCGTGAATGCACGCCACGCTCTAATTAAAACGGAAGCAGAAACCCGGTATTACAATGAAATATAAACATGATCGGCAAATCTAGAGCAGAATAATATTTATTTTGCAGCTTTGTATTTTAATCCCTCTGCTTCTATGTTGTTTGTTGATCACGTGTGCCATGTGAGACTGACAGCCCAACAGAAAATAGCTGGTGGCCCAATTTTAGTGGCCTCATTTTTAAATTAAGGATAGAAGATTTTACAATAGCGCAGTGAGTCCCGAGTAATTTGATCCGACGTTAATTACGCCTCACAGTCGGCCCAACAGAAAATTCACTGGAACCAATTGACAAATTGCTCTTATGACATGACTACAGCACATTTGTGATATTTAGGACATACTTAGTAGCTCGGTAGTTTTTTGTGGGGTCAGCGACCTTTCTAGTTTTGTACCAACGCTAAGCAAAAACCGTCATTAGACACGTCTCGAATTATTAAAATCATTATGAAGTTCTTCGTAATATCAAAACCTTAATGTACTGATAAAGTGATATTGGAATTGCAATAAAAAATAGCGTACGTTTGAAGAGCGTCAGTGGAGCGGCAAATATCAAATGAAAGAAGTTTTAAGAAGCCAAGAAATGAGACGACAGGATCAATTTCAAAAAGGGTTCACCACAGAAGTATCGATGACGTGGCTTTCAGGAGATTTGGTTTCCATAATCAATATTCATTTATAAGAAACGCTCCTACTACATATGTCGTTACTTATTGTAGATACATTGCAACAATCAATTATTTTGTTATTTACCAACAAGCTACACAGATTTCTCCGCAGTTTCTCAGAGGCTTGCGCATACACGAATTGCATATAAAGAATGTGTGAAAAATGTATATTATTAGTGATGTAGGTAATCTAGTTTATTCTCAGGTTTCGCGTCGACCAAGGTCAGAAGCCGGTTCTAATTGTCTGACCGTGACGCTAACCGCTTTGTTTGTTTAGATATTCAGTTACAACTGACAACTATTGTTGAATGTGGAAGAACTTGAAAAAGATGCACGGAGTGAAGTAAATTATATGAGGATAATAAACAGAATTTTATAAGAATATAATTCGTTTATGACGAATACAACTGATTTTATAGGATATTTAATACATTTTTTATTGGTTTTGTCCTACTTGTATTCGTATGGAAGATCCCAAGAACTGAGATGAGGAAATAGTATGATTATGGTTTAATAATTTAAGTGGATATGAGTCATAAATAAAAAGAAAGAGTATTGGCAGAAACTAATAACCAGTTCTCATTATCTTATTTTAAGGTAAGTAACAGAGTAAATGCCACTAACTTTCATATTATAAACAAAATTATTAATGCTGTTTGCATCAAACAAGTTAATTTGATCTTCCGAAGTTTACTATTTATTTATTGAAGCTAAACTAAATATGTGTTTCATAATGGTGGTCTAATAAACAGAAAAATATACAAGAAAATATTATGTCAAATCACAATCATGTGTTTTTATATCGATATTTAATTAAATTATTAATTAATGCAGATACGAAGAAAAAACTCATTACATATTTATAAATAATAAATAAGTCCATAAAAGGACTAAATGAATAAAACATAAGAAATCCCTTGAAATTTTAATCAAGTACTCGTCGACCAGATAATAATTATCTATTGACGGAAGAAACATCATCCGATAAGTAATCATTTCGTTATCTCATTTTTCAAATGCAACGCTCCCAACCTGCCGCCATTACACTTCTCGTAATTATTGAGTCATGGGACCTTAAGGGTAATTTATCGGTCAATAACATGCACCCGCACGTCCCGTTATAGCCCGAAATATAGTATTTACGGTTCTAAACCAGAAGTGTCGGTTAATGAGCCGTCCGGCGACTTCCTGAAGACGGCCCGAGCGAGCGACGACTACACAATGTGGAAGCAATTTGTGTTTTCATACCTCTTGGTAGTTACTTTAATTATGAAGAGGTGGCTAACCTTTACAAAGTAAACTATCAGCACTAAACTATTTTCGTAATATTCACAATCTTCATTATCTAAAGATGCATTCAGAGACCTTGTTATGAGTAAATTAATGTATTTGTGAGTTGAGGAATTTTGGTCCCTAGAGACCCTCATATATTACCTTGCTCCTCGGATATACGCTCAGTACGTCCGTCCACCACCTAGCCTCTTCTCTGGAAGTGCCTTTCACGAAGGTGACTCTCTCTGGCGCGGTGATGGCGATGCTGTGGGGGTGTCCCGTCACGCTGTCCGCCTCGCTCACCTCCAGGACAGTCGTCATATCCACGCTGGCTTGTGGGACTGTATCTGGCTGTAATACAAACACATCATCAGAACACTGCAAAATAATGCCCATACAAGGACAATGTCACTATAGAGCTGTTATATAAATAATAAAATGTACCGATTCTATTCGGAATGAGTCAGGAGACGCAGTTATCGCTAAAGCAATGTTATAATCAAGTTTTCTCCATGGAAATTGTAGTTAACGGCACTTCGTAACATTAGCTACGGAGCGACGCAGCAGGGGGCGCGACTGGACGCGTATTCTGACCGACATCTTAAGTTGTTACCTCAGAACCATCGCATTACTATTGATATACACCTTACAGTACCAAACGTTAAGAAATAACACCTTCTTTTCGTTATTTACACGAAGAAAATAAACCTAGTTGCTTGATTAAAGGCTTCTGTAAGTGACAAACGAATTTACATCCGCTGTATACTTCAATGTCACACTTTAACTGAGAGAAAAGTATGCAGCGTCGCTATTCCTTAGGACCTAATGGGCCATCCGGTGCACAATTAGTTAAAAGAGCATTACGCATATTCAATACTTGTCTGGAAGAATTATTATAGTTATCTACATAATCTAGAATGTAGATGGTAGTAAGAAGACCTCTGGAGTAACATTTTTAAAATAGTATCACAGGTATTCGTAATTACGGCTTAAGAGCTTTATTTATCAAAGGATTTTTTTAAGAGTTATTTAAAGGTCTCAAATTATTTCTCGAGGCGAGGACTATTTACTAAAATTGCTTCTGATTAATTAGTATCTTCAATGCGGCTTTTTGTTTGTAATTAAATAATTTAATACTTTTAAAGAACAATTTACTGCTGTTTATTACCGAGGACAATCTATTCCGACTGTGACCAGAACTTGACCCCTAGTCAGGTAGTTTAAAATAAATTTGTATGCAGACGTATAAATAGTACTAAAGATTTATATCGTAGTTATTCTTTGTTTTACTTGCGAAAAATGTATAAAAATATAACTCATATTCTGTTAGCAGTTTCTTGTAGTATACAGACTTTATTATTTTAATAAATTTATATATTAATATAGTTAAATTAAATTGTTTATAAGATCAAATTAGTAAACAATATATGGAAATAACATTATCTGTAATTAAGTGTCTGTTTATATAGCGGGGGGTCGGGAGGTCAGTTATTACACATTACGGCCGTCACCTCATTCATCAACCACGATAAGTAACATCAAAACTAAAACGAGTCGCGTGCATAACGTTGTATTGGTGAAAGCACGTATTCAGATAACGAGCCAAAAAAAGTGAAAATAAATTTCGCGTAAAATGTTAACGTTATGACCAATTAAAATCGACGGTTGAAGTATGGAAGCGGTCAGGCTTCAATAAGCGTATATCAAAGTTTATTAATCACGCCCGATGCTACGTAAGGACAGGGTGATTTATAATATAACTTTCCCCCGTCCAAAAATGGTCTAATTTGACAAGGAATGGAGACAGACTCCTCGATTACGCAATAATGTCGACAGAATATATCGTAGCAAATACAAAGTTTGATATACATCGAAGGTTTTACATAAGTTTGTTTCAGATTCATAGAGCTGTACAAGAATTGTATCAGCAACAGCACCCAACTAGAGCCGTTGATGGCGATTAACGATTATGCAATTGTTCCCATGCGATGGCTAGGCGGCCATAATTTCCGGTGTAGCGGGACACAGCTATTCAACTGTACCATCAATAGGACGGGATTCCTCGTTATCCTTCCATTAAATGGTTACCGGTGACGTATTTATAACTAAAGAATCCAACTACAATTTGAAATTGCATAAATAATTGGACTGCAAGTGGCAATACCCACTATTAAAGTCTAGATATATGGGATCTTTAACTGTGGTCACTTTATTTTATTAAATAACTACAATAAAAGCCAGCGGTTTTATTCTAATGGTTAATATTTGAAGACTGCTTTAGATCATACAGTGTGAGACTTTGAGAATGCGGTCGATTCGCCGTATAAGCAATTCTAGCTGCAAAGTGCGAATCATTTAACTAATAATAGTTTGTTAAACGTTAGCAGTAGTTAATCTTCACCGCCCGATCTCACCGCTCGGTCTATCTAACAGTTATTGGCGTTAGGGTCGATAATTTTAACCCAAACATTCCTAGTGTACTGTTAGAGCTGAGATTATGCGATGCCTGATGTTCTGTTAACACTTACATTGAGATAAGGATATATAAAATACGAATAAAAATAAAGACATACATAAATAACTGTATAATACACTCGTAAGAAGATTTTATATTTGACTTGACACATCAAAAAGTAAATCGCTCCTTGGAGCCAGATTATGATTATTATTATTGATTATTACACAGTAAATTTTATATTTAATAATACTTATTAAACATGAATGTCTAAATAATATCGTTGACGTGGATCGTTTGACGTGAAAGTAACATTTTCTCGTGACATCTGGTTTCCAATATCTAGATCTTCGATTCCATCGTTTTCGATGTATGTAATTATATGACGTTATTAACTACATACTTTTAAGAGTATTGTACCGTTAAATGTATGTGTTGAACGGTCAGCGCCCACGCAACGTCTCGATTATCCCTAGAGTTATAGCTCATAGCATCACATACCAGACCTCACGCTCGAACCCAACAGACAGATACCACGAGGTGACCATAGCTCATGGGACTTCAATGTTAGAAGTCTCCAAAGGTCCCTAGTGTGGAAGCAACTTAGTAACGTTTTATAAGGCGATTAATATGATAGTAAATACGGCTATAAATAATCTTTGACATAAATTTTATTGACGTAACTTTTGCCCCCGACGTATAACATAAAATGCATCTATTTATCACTTTATTAAACACTTGGATCTTACACGTGAACGACATGTATTAAATCTGGATGGTTTTTGTAGATTATTATATAGGGATTGTTTTAGTTAATAGTTATCCTATTAAAAAAATACGGCCTATAGTATCATACAATGCTTAGATATTCTTTTATTAGGGATGTGAATAGTTTAGATGTACAAAGAAATGTAAATACATGAGTACTAAAACAACAATATACTTTTTTTATCTAAAACTATTATTATATTTAATGAGAGCTGTTACTAATATAGTTTAATATGTAAGCCACTAGGCAACCCATATTCAATGTGGTTGTCAGGTAAACTGCGCCACTGCAACACCGTTTGAGATTAGCACTAATAAGATGTCGCAAAGATTTTGCTACAGGTAGGGCAATTAGTTGCTTGATACAGTTAGGTATATATAAGCCGAGTAGTGGTTAACTATACATTCAATATTTGGTAGACAATATTTATTGAATGAATAAATTATATAAAAAAATACTTTATTTAAAATTATTTAAAATCCCTTCATGGGAAATCATTGTAATGTAATCAGTCCTTGTTAGCGATGTAGTGCTTTTATAACATCGGCTTGTGATTTTTTATTAACCTGCCGTATTTTCATCTCAAATAACTGCTAATAATAAACCTGCTTATATGTACATTTATTTCTAAGTACATATATATTCTTATCATTTCGTACTATTTCTGAATAGTCGTTCAGCATTTTAATATTGAATATTTCTTTTAAATATTATTAAATATTATTAACTTTATATCTATATAAATGTATATTCAGTTCAGTGTTCGCGTACAAGACAACATTATCTCCTGTCAATCCACAACGTATATTTCAAGTCGTGTTGAACGCCATCACTAAATTTAAAACTTTCCAAAACTGCCCTTTTGTACGGACTTTATTCATGTTTTAGATAAAGATGTCAATACATATAAAATATTTTACATATTTCACAATAAGTATAGGGCCGCGATTTTCCTATTAATAGTTTCCTATTAGGATTTGAAAATTTTTAATGTTTACATAAAAAGAACTTTGTACATGAAGTACTCTTGTACTGACTACATACACAAAATATTTGATCGATTACAGAAGAAGGGTTAGTTTTGAACTTAGTTATAAACTTCTCATTTATGTGTTAAAAATCTGTCTCGTCTCACATTTATTTAACATATAAATCATCAAAAAACATTATATAAATCACAACATATGTATTATATTTAATTTGATCATCTCGACGTATGCTAAACATATAAAATTAATTCGAGAAACCGATGATTTGTGTCGACATGAACCAGATCGAGGATTTGATTAAATCAAATGTTTAATAAATCATTATTTAATTAATAAGACTAGTTCACAATCAAAAAGAAATAAATATTTACATCAAACAAAATTTTCACTAATACATAATTGAATGTCTGTCGTTGCGTCATTCACTTTCACTTCAAAAGTGTATCGGGGACCGACGCCCGTATAATTATATATTTTTTTGTGTAAATTTATAACAGGCATTACATAACACTATGTATCGACCGATTCTACTATAGCAACTAGATTTTGGTCACTGTTATTATTAATTAATTATAGTACGCAATTATAATATTAATTATAGTACGTAAGTCATTCGTATTTTTTATTCATTTGCGACAATAATTCGTCTTGTATAATCAAGCCATATATATAACTTATATAATTTCTTAAATGTTTTAATCTTTAAACTTCAGTTTAAGTTCCATTCATTCATGTTTTCTATGATAACACGTTAAACAAGTCGAGTATAATCTCAAACTTTTCTGTAATGGTCTATTTAATGTCTAATCGGATAAGTAAGAGGTCGTACGGTCAGATAGTGTAATCTAAACACGCTGTATGAACTAGTAACGCGTCGCGACACTATTCATCTTTAAGCTGATTAGCTCGGCTCAGTTATTCGCCAGCCCTTCGTTCCTCATTTTTCGTTTTAACGTCCCAATTGGTGATACAATGTAACTATATTATTGGTCATATGAGTAGAAGGATATGTTAATCTATGCATTATATTATGTAACGCCACGAGGCTGTGTATCTTGTAATAATGTTCAAATCGGTTCGCTCTCATCGCAGGATGCGGACGGCGGAAGTGTCGCCGCTCAGACAATGCCCCATTGTA